GTAAATACTTCCACTAAAGCAGAGGCAGCCGGCAGTGAAGAGCTTGGGGGCAGAGCCTCCTCTGCGAAGAAGGGCAGCCACACCCACCATAACTGCATGAATCAGCTGGTACCAAGCAGCAGTCTTCCAGGATTCCAGAAGTTCGGGATCGGAGACGTACTTCTTCAGGCCGTGTGCACCGAATGCACCCATCGCAACGCCAAAAGCACCCAGCACGCCGCTGACTGCCTCATGCAAGCAGCCGAGCAGAAAGACATGCCAAGGCTCGGCTTGCTTCTGTCTGGGCATGTCTGGGCTGCGCGTGCCTGTAAAAATTTCTGAACTTTAGTCAGGATGCTGTCCAGTCCATTGCTCCAGCACGGCAATCGGATCTGGATGAACTCACCTAGACGCACCTAACCTACACCTTGAAGCCAATGAGCCGCGGAGCTTACGGGTAGCTTTGCATTTGACAGGCTTTGACAAAGCCCGTAAAAAACAAAGGAGCTGGCTGGAGAGCTTGGACGGCTCGTCGAGAAGACGCTGTATCAGGCCTTGGGCTCTCCCAGAGTGTTGCCCTCGTTAAAAAGGTCGTTAAAAAAAAGGAGATCGGCGCAGGCAAGCGACCAACTAGGCATGGCAAACGTCGGTTTGCGTCATGGCGATGTCCCAACTTGAGCACACCACCTTCAAAAGCCGACACCATCGCACGGTCTCTTCGTGCACTGCCTGTTCAGTACGAGCGGCCAAGCATGCGCACCCAATTCGCATTTGCATTTGACATGAAGGCATATCTTCCCATGCTTGGAGCCACACCGTCCAAGTCCATCAAAGCTGCCACCTGCTTGTCTTTGCACTGCCGGCCGAAAACTAGAGAGTGCCAACACACTGACAGCCGGTCAATAAACACTTCTGACGATGAGCCGAGCACGGATGCATTGTCTGTGCGGGAATAGATGGTCTCCATGCCCCTGCAACATGACAAACTAACTATTCCCGGCACATGGCATGGAACCATGCAGAACAAATCTTTGGGATGACGTTGCCATGGTGGCAACAGCAGACAGCAAGCATCAACAAGCAGCTCGGAGTCCTCTGGGTGACTATGTCGCGGAAGGAGCGCACCTGCCTTCCGCACAGGAAGTAAAACATAGCAGTCCTGAGATGTGCAGCAGGCATGCAGCGACATGCATGTTGTTTTCTTGAGGCGTGTTGCATGCACGCCTTTCTTGGGAACTCCAACACGCACGAGCATGCTGAGAGAAGCGCCAGAGATCATCCACCAAGAAGCATGCCGTATCGCCCTTCACAAAGCACCTTCAGCTCAGCCAATCGTGGCACATGTTGCTAAATGTGAATCAGTGGCCACCCCGTAACAAGGCCTGTGAAACTCGATCATGCTCTTCAGGGTTGTCTCGTCCAATTGCAGGGCCACTATGTCGGCGCCCTGCGGCACCATGAGCCCGCCTTCGAGTTACATCCCGCTTCTCCAGGCTCCATGATCACTGAATATCACTGACATGCCCCCCAGCTTTGCATTTATCGCCATCTGAGCTAGCCCACGGAAGTAGTAGGCGAAAAAGGAGCTGACGTAACCACATCCAAGACTTTGCTGGATCTGGCACAACTCGCCTGAGACTGCATGTGCCAAGGACTTTAAATATTTTGAATTTTACGCTTCAGAAGACGAGCAAAGATGGCAATGATGTGCATGCTGTTGTCGTTTTCCTTGTATGGGACTCGGACAATGGACCCTTTATTTCGATGGTCCGTGCGACTTACGAAACTACGAAGTCCTAAAGCCTTGTACAACCTTCAAACTGAATTTCTCCCTTTGTTGTGCAAGCCTAGTGCTGATGGGAGGTAAGCATGGTCGTCGTCCAGCAGCATTAGCATGTCACCGGGGATGGCCCTCGCGGTACGGCACTGTGCTAAGAATCGGGATGAAAACGGCATGTACCGGTTGGCACATTCCAAAACGTGGCTTTCTGAGCCTCTCGCTCACCAATCGATTGCTGGAAAAAATCAGCCGCACCAAGTAATTTGGTGCCAGGTCCGGCATCCTCTTGCAGCCAATGAACCTGCAACAAGCGTGAAATTGCCACGGAAGCCGGAAGCACACTTTTTTTGCACTACTGGCCTCCATCCACGGATACCTGGTCATGAGATCCTTCACGTGATCCGGTAGCTCGTACTCGCGGCCTTGCTCTCTGCAAGCCGCATACCATCCAGCTTCCATGGGACTGTATGTGAGTTCAACATACTAGTAATGCGGAAACTGGTTCTTCTTTCAGTTCTGTGGTGGGCTTTTCGGAATTTCGCCTTCGCGCACCGACAGCCGCGGCAATGACAGAACGAGCCGATCCGGCCGCCTAGACCTCAAAAAGCGGTGTCTGCAGTGAAAATCAGATGCTGCGCCGCAGAGAGACGAGGGGAGGACTGCTTGGCTATAGACTCCAGGGCTGGTCCGATACCTGCATTTTGCACGTCGTGCACGATGGTGCACAATGTTACACACGCTGGTCGTGAAAACACAGGGCTTGTCATGGCTTGTCCAATGCTGTGAACTCCTCATGGGCCCGGGTGGGTCCGAGAGCCGGAAAGGAACTTGGGAAGCATGCTACGATGCGTGAGCCCCTATAACAAAAACTCTCCGAATCCCAAGGCAACTGGAACAATGCACCGATGAAGCCACGGGGTTCGTTTGTTTGAGGAGATGGTGCTGCAAGGGGTGCGCAGCTGAACAAGCAAACTGGCAAGCTGCAAACGGTCCCCCAACCCCTCCCCCCGGGGTTTTCCCCAGCTGTGCACCCTTTGCAGATTACCATGCGGTGCCTTCACCTCTTGCGGCTTGCTATTTTGCTGGTTGCCGTCCGCTCTGCTGCTCTGCTGCACGTTGTTGCCGCCAGCTACGTACAACAGCGTCCACGCGCACACACGCGTATACGCGCGTGGCACTCACTCCGCAGCTACCGGCAGCCTGTGAGAGGAATTGCGGAGCGGCCCTTAGTGGGGCAAATCATGGCAAACCACATGTCGGGGACGACCGAGCCAGGTCGGGAACCAGGGCACGCGGCGTTGAGGAATAGATGCACGGAATCGGTGACTGATCCTACTAATATCGTCATTAGTTGGCTGAACGCATATAGTCGGGGACTAGGCCAGCCACGGTGGCAGGCATTTGTATCTGGGACATGGGCTCGCTTCGGCAAAGAAACAGGGACGTGTAGCCAAAGCCGTTGCGGAATTCGATGCCATACGGCACGTGATTGGCTCCGGAGCTGCGAAGACACAGTCGAGGGTTCAACTGGAAGCCAACAAGCAGCTTTGAGGTGCGGGAAATCTGCCCAGTAGCGCCACAATACGGAATCCGGGAAGGGAACGGGTCGGAGAGGCAAGGCGCCTTTCAACCAAGAGGGCACCGGGTTGGCTCTTCGTTGCACACTTTTTGCAGCTTGTCTTCCGGCGCTGTCCCTTGTTCATCGGAGGCCCCTTGAAATGCTGGGAGGGGAAGAGCGGCGCTGGCCGCGGCTTTGAGGCAGGTCGACCCTGTCCACCCAGTATGTCCTGTCATGAACTCATACAATCGCATCCATTTTGCTATGATTGTTTGTACGTCCTACCGTAGGCTGCACCCTATCGTCACCCTCCTCGAGGACCGGTATGTGGGACCCGGGTTGGGAGCCACAGTCCCTACTCCCTGCCTGCCAGGATCGGCACACTTTTTGAACGTGGTCACGACGCGGAAGCACAAGCCGCGGTATCCGGACCACGTCAGACAGAGCAGAACAAGCCAGTCGAAGCAACAGATCACAGCCATAGCACCCAATAAAGCAAACTTAACAACGACAAGCCGAACACAGAGGCGACAGTAGGAAATGCTTCGGAGGTGGCGCCAAAATACAGCAATTACAGCAAAGCACTTGGCGCGGGGTACTTTATGAAGTTGAGAAGCACTTGGCCCGTTGACCTCCTCCCTGCGGCAACAGCTAAAAGAACTTGACAAACACGTGCTTTAGGGCACCCCTCGTCCCCTCAGTGCTTTTTGATCTCTTGAACATCCCTTGGAAGTCTTGAGAACTCCTTCACCCAAGACTCCCTGAGCTTTCATCTTTGCTGTGGGACTACTGTGCTCGGTAGACGCAAGATAAGCTCCAAGCTCCAAGCCTCCCAAGCGCGATGGCAAGGAGGTCATGCCGACGACCAGCACGGGCGGCCTGACAGAAAGCGCGCAAAAAACCTTTGGGAGATTCTTCGGAGGGCGAAACGATGAAACTGCGAGGGAGAAGCCATGGCAAGCGATAGCTCCTAGACTGGAAACTTACAACGCCTGATAGCTCAGTGCTGGCCTGCTCGATGGAAGGGTAATTGGCCTTTTGAGCTTCGCCTCGAATTGATGAGGGCAGAAGGTCTGTATGGCTGGAGCTCGGTAGAGCTGCTAAGCTGGCAAGCAATCACGGTGTCGCGAAGGTTTGCGATGCTTCGCACTCTAGAATACGGCGCTGTGAAGCGAGCTGTTGAAAGGCGTCGCCGCCTTGTTCCCCACACCTGGCTCCGTGTACGGCCCTCCTACAACATCACCCGGAGATCTGAGTGACAGCACCTGGGCTTCTACGTCACTCAGAAGCTGCTCGGCCCAAGTTTTTTTTCTTTTTCCAGAGCTGCTTTCGGTGCATCCTCATCTCAGGTTATTGCTGAAACTACATGAAACTATGTCAGGGCAAGTCGCGCTGTCTCGCAAGTAGAGCAAACGTGAGCATCCGAAGTACACGAATTTTGTTAAAAAAAAAGAGCGCCTAAGCGACACGCTTTTACTTCAGTAACGTGGCCGCAACGAATCTTCGAGCATTTTTTCGGACATGCGTTTCTTTATTACAGTTTTGTCGTGAAAGGTCTTCGGGTGACGGGGTTTTGGGTGCGAGGTTCGCGGGGTGGTTCGGGTTGTGGGGCATGGACCTTGGAGCAGAGCTACACCGTGAACCCGAAACAACTTCAATTCAAACGTTACTTCTGTGACCGGGAAAGCGTTGGAAAGTGTGACCAGTATCGCGAGGCGGGCTTACGGTAGGTGCCAGTCAACGTGGACAGGGCGCCCCCTCGAACATGTCGGAGAATGGCTACGGGGTCTTTGGGCCCAAGGGATGCGGGCACGTGCTTTTTGATTTGGCCCCATGCTCCGTCCAATCTTCCAAGGTCGAAACCGCAAGCGACATTTGTTTGAAATCAGCGATTCGCCTAGGCGAAGCACGTACTTTCCAAATGTATTGTTTACAAACAATAAAGCATAATAAAGCCTTGTAAGGTGAATAAGTTGTCGGCGTACAAAGGTGTCTTTGCTGCTTTCGTGTTGTGGTGATGCAGTCATGAGGTACGGTAGCACGGGTTCACGTATACTTGCATGGTTTGTGAGGCCTTATCAGCGATGGAACGAAGCGCTAGTTCTATGCAGTGAGTGGGAACCCCAACAACCCAGTGCAAGTGTTCGCAAAGCCCCTCTCAATGCCCCATCCCAAGGCAAGAACCATGAGCGTTGCTTTGGACATTGGGGTCGTTGGCATGGTTTCAGAGCACAGGTTATGGAGGGTCAATTGCAGTTGCGAGGCAGTAGGATGCCACACGGATGGAAACGAGCTCTTCATGTTTCCGGCGATGTTGCCGAAGATCGCTCCGCCAATCACAAATGCAAGCTTCAATCGCCCATTATGTACAGGTTGTGATTCGACGCGCTTTTGGCTGCATCACCATCCTTTGTCAGAAAGCGTTCCTGGTCCATTCGGAGGGCGAACGACTCCTCACCTCAGTCTGCTGGAGCAGTCAGCATCCCTCCTTTTGCAACGAAGAGAGACGCAACACCCATCATGTCCCCTCATGTCCTCTCATGTCCCATGTTCACATGTCGGGGCCTATGGTATTTGATCTTCCTGTCAAAGCAGCACCTTGGACTCGATGCTGAGACGAACGCGCCGTTCTCTGCACTGCGCACACCCTGCACACGAACAACCTAGAATACAATAGAATACAAAAGCCAACCTGTCAGGCCAAGGTGCTTTCGTTGAACGAGTGCCGTCTTTTCTGTTCGGCTTGATATCTGTAAGCTTCATAGAGGTCTGGACAAACAAAATAAACTCGTCTCGCTTTCTCCGTCGCGAGTGTGGCCCCAAACCTCGAGATTGACCAGAGCAGTAGCCCAGGAATGCACATGCGTTTGACGACTACTTTACATCACACGAACATACAAGGTGCAACAGCGCATCAGCGGCAACGCGACACATCGGCACCATCACCAGCAGCAGGTTAAGCAGCAACGACAGCAAGGCCAGCAAGACGAGCAAGAGCATCAACAGTAACGCAGCGGCAAACAGCAGCAACACATTCACCTGCTTTTCGCGTCCCCCTGCCTCTTTGCTGGAAGTGGAGCCTGAGAATCCCATGCAGCTCAGCTTAAGCCACTACTTCAAGAACTCCAAGCACTAGATCCGAGTGGTCACCTGATTGCTCCAGTGCTCGAGCGCTTCCTTGCCATCATTGTCTTCTATGTCATCCAGAAGGGACTCGCCTGCGAGTTGGGCGTGCAGCGTGAATAGCGGACGAACACCCAACCTTCTCGATCCCACGCTGCAGCGTACTTCTCCCTGCTGGGCGAAACTCATAGAGTGGGTTAAGTCGTCGAGATTCTGAGGGACGAGGGCCCGAAGACTCATTCAAGGTACGTTTGTATTGGATGCTCCAGGAAACTGCGGCCCTGCGCGCTAGCTGCACTTGTGAATGGCTCGCGTAATTCTAGTGAATTCTAGCAACAGCAGCCTTGATTCTTTTCCCTTTGTTTGGCCCGACTGTTGCTACAACCAGCCCCAAACCTCGAACATGTACAGGTTTGGTTGCGGAACATGGTATTGACAGCGCCATCTTGCTCCTGCCTCCCCCTGACAGCGATGATGGCAGTGAGAGATAGACGCAAGCACTGGCACAAAGACAAAAGGCTGAGATCGTGTATGGCAGACCTCAGGCAGAACTGTCAAAACTTTCTCTTCTGCAAGCACTTCAGATATGTCTTGGTGCTTTGTTTGGCAAAGCAAATCCAAACTTGAGGCGAGGGTCCATCAGACACGTCATAGAGGCTGCCTCCCACAAGAGGCCCCAAGGAAAAGCCGAGATTCAAGAGGCCTCTCTCCATTCCGTACACGGCCGCCTTCCACATTCTTAGCCACGTTTGGTTGTAACTTAATTGCAACGGGCACGTCTTGAATTCGAGCTTCGGAAAAGAACTAAAAAGCTTCGAAGCCATGTCCTAGAGAGAGGCACCGCTTTCCCGTGTCCCCTGCCGGCCTGGTGCTTTTCTGGCACAAGCGTGCCAACCAAACTGGCCTTGCTGGCTACTTCGACCAACGTAGCAGTGCACCCGAATAAAACGGCATATAAATACGGTGTCCACCACACTCGGCACACCAGCATCAGCACCTTTGCGCAAGTCTCACGGCTCGTTTCAACAAACATCGATATGCCACTTTTCTCACACCTCTCTGGCTCTCTGCTGCCATTGCATTCTGCCATTCTGCCGAAGTCGCCATGACACCAGCAGTGCTGACGGAGAACACAACGCAGATAAGCTTCGCAGGAAGCTTCTCGCTCACATAGGGTGCCAAGCTCCCCCACAGCAAGCTGGACGCCGAACAAGTCATCATGAACTGTGCTTGCTCTTCTGGCGCAAAACCATATTGGTCATGCAGAAAGAAAGCCTCGGGGCCATCACTTACTGCCTCAGTTGCTCAGTTGCTCAGTTGCAGGAATCAGAGGCAGGAGGGTTCACACTTGTTGCAGCTTGGGCTAAGGGAGCAGCGAGGGAGAAGCTGTCCTCAGCTCACACTGCGTTCGTTGCCCCAAGACGCGCAAAAAACCTTGCGCAAAAACAAACAGCAAGCCGTCAGACAGGTTGCTATGAAACACGCCAGCAGCAGAAGCCTTGTTGGCCCGTGCATAAACTTGACACCTCGGCCAGTGAGGTTTGAAGAACTGCAAACAAGGCAGGGAGAGCAGCAACTCAGTGAGGTGCTGAGAACAGAGACTTTGCGGTGGGGCGAGTCGGATTGCACTTGCACCCGCGATGCAGCCTGGCTTTCCAAGAACTGTGCGCGTAGGTGGTAAAGGCTTTATCTGAAGCCAGCCTTTAATCTTTCGGTCGCTTCAGCTCAAGCATGTTCAAGCGCATGTCAAACGATTAGCTGAGAATGGATACTGTAGCTTTCCTACATTTGTTTAGCTGGCAAGCTGTCTGCAACATCAAGACAGCTTGTCCATGCGGGACAGTGTGGCAAGGCTAGCTACACGATTCAGAAATGATGCGGAATGCATCAGGTTTGAGGCAATGTGAAATTGGCCCATTTCTGTGGAGTGTAGCTGTCTTTTGGAGCTCTCAGAAAGACATGCTGTTCAGGTGTAGTGCAATATTTCTTGAAACTACTTTTCAGCGTGCATGGAAGCAAGGCTATGGATGGCACAAACCACTGCGCAAGCAGCCCGAACTGTCCGCCTTGACAACCTTAATGTTGTCTGGACATGTGAAGAACCAGACGCCTTGGAAGGGCATCAGCCCGCTCTGAGTCAAAGGTATATCATGTGGCCCAGATCTTGCTTCGCATGTGCTCAAGCTCCAGCAATGCTCCCGGGCCTATAATGAAGTTGAAGACGCAAAGCAATGAGATGGCATAGCACAGGTGCTCAAACTCGAAGTGGCTCTCAAATCTCTTTCGCTCGTATGGAGCTACCATGCCACCAATGGCAGGCCCCAAGAGGCACCCGGCGGCCTGCAACCTTGCCTGCAAATTCACCCAGTAGGCACGGTCTGACTTCCAAGTCAAGTCCGCCATGTATGCCACTTCGGCTGCCATTGTCCCACTCACAAATCCCAGAGCAGCTCTTGCAAGCAAGAGTTGGAAAATGGTGCTTGCGTTGGCCATCAGCAAATACCTGTGTATGCAACAGCCAAGGAAATACAGCGCAGGGTGTGGCTTTTTGGCGGGCGGTCACATACTTCTTGTCATGGATCGCTGTGTGGGTACTAGAGGTGAGGGTCTGCTTCATTTAGCTTCATTTACACTGTGCTGGCAAAGCCACACGATGGAAGTAGAAGCCAAGCCCGCCAGCAGAATCGGCCGGCGCCCTAAGCGCTCTGAGAGCCATCCCAAGAGTGGCGAGCTCAGCATCTGGCACGCTGCGTACGCCGATGCAATCATTGCATAGTGAAAGGCGTGGCAGCCCTTTGCCATGGCGAAGTAAGGCAGCGCCGGCGCCAAAATCCACTGACCGCCTCGGTGAGTGTACCCAGTAGCCCACCCATTCTGTGTTCTCTACTTCCCAACACGGCAAAAGGCCTAAACAAGGCTGAGACTAGTCTTTTGGCATCCTTAAGCAACTCCGTCAAAGCCATCAAAGCTGCATGCCCAGATGAAAGAAGAGCAGATCAGTGCCCCGAGCTCGATTTGGGCCGCTCTGTTGTTGCGAGACTGAGGCTTCAGGGCAGGTTTCAATGGCACCGCGGCAGGTGCCATGGCTGCAGTTCTTCGATACGTAACCTTATAAGTAAGCTGTTGTCAGCTGAGGTGTTGCGCGGTAACATCTGATGCTGAAGGCCGCTAAGGCCGGGGCACAGAGAGTTGGGGCGTTGTAGCATTTTTATTCCTCTCTGTTTTGGGGAAAGTATACCGCAGGAATCAAACACGCAGTCGTTGTGCCTGGCTATCTGCCAGTGGGCTACCTTCGTTTGGAATTCTGTGCATCTGATGCGAAATGCTGCGAATAAGCAGCTCCATGTGAACGCACGCAACCATTGCCACTGTCTCCACAGTCGCCAAAAAGAAATGGCACCGCAGGGGCCTGCTGGTGGCGGGATGTAGAGCATAAGAGCACCTGGAAGCTGGGGGATGCGCCTAGAGATGCTTTGCAACAAGCTTGTTGCAAGCATGTTGCAAGCACATCCTCAGAACCGTACTTGACTTGCACGGAAGCGCTTGCATTTGCTTTCTATCAGAACCATGAACGGTTAACCAAGACTGAGAGATCATAGCCGTTGCACGCAGATGTCAATAACATGCATGCTTATGATGTTGGCGTTTGCTGCATCTTGGTGCACACAGCGAGCCAGGCGTCTACTTGTACTCTTGAGTGAAGCCAGATTGGCTGAGAACTGCATCAGAGCCACTCTCCCTGGGCATGGATGTGTTATGATGTGTTGACATGCCTTGCCCTGGTCGAAAGTACCCCTGGTCGAAAGTACGGGTTCTACAATGACAAACAATGCCGTCATTCTGTTGGTTCTCACGTGGTATAGGATTCAGAGTTTCAGCTGAAGTCCATTGACGAGAACAGCTCTTTTCCATGCAGGAGGGTGCCCAGACGTGTCTTCAGAGGGGTTGGGTTTGTCACGACTTTTCCAGCCGCAAGAACAAGACCAGCGCCCATCTGGAACCACATGAAATGGGCTTGGCTTGGTGCCAGATCTTGGTGTCCATGAACATGCAGTCTCCCGCTTGAATGGTGTAGACCAGCTCTTGCTTTGGCTTGCCATCCCACACATGCAAGGCGCCTCCTTCGAAAGGCTCGTCGGTAGGAAGCGCTAAAATCACAGAGCCGTCCACGTTGGCACCATCCTGACTGCACACAAAGAGCTAGCAGTAGGCAGCTGACTAGCCCGGAACATTGCTCATTCATGTTGAACTGTTGAACCTTGCAGAGAGCTTCCCAAATCGTATGACTTTAGCGGCAAGCATACACATGCTCAAGGGCATGGCTGATCCTGCCATGCACGATGCTCCCCACCGTTCCCTACCTCAATGCTTGAAGAAGCCAAGTTTCGATGTGCTTTTGCAGCTCGTCTTCTCCGTGCATTGCTCGATATCTTGTTACGAAAGCATTCATGACATCGAACTTCTTGCTTCCATGCCGAAAGCCCTTCAACGTACAGTACCATTTCTCGAACATGCGAACGCACTCAGTCATGACGTCGCCGAGACATCGCAGCATCGGTTCATGGGGCATGATCTTAGGCTTCCAATGCTCCATTACCACCATGTAGCAGGAAATACGCCAGTCATCTCCATATCTGGAATTCCTACCGTAGTCAAGTGGTTGCTGAACATAGCTTGCCTTGATGTCAGGGAACAGTTGTGCCAAGCGTTGAGGCTCGACAGCAGCCTTCTTGAGCTCGTGGGCAAAGGCTCGGCCGCGCCCTGTGCCTGATGCCTTCTTTGCATCATCTTTTAAGAGCTGCACGAGCGCTTCTGCATCCTGAAGTAAGTTGCCGCTGGGCTTGAAGCCTCGCTGAGTCAAGTACCTCAAAGGGCCCCACCCAAGGCTGCCAGTGGAGGCCACTAAACTCTTCTAGATTCATTCGCTAGACTTCTCAGAAATTCGACTTGCTGGATCTCCCAATATCACCGAGAGTCTTCGAGAGGTTTCGCTGGCTAAAGGTGGTAGATCGCGCGTCGGAGACAGCCATGCAGACAGCTTTGCTCACCTCTTGCAGTTGGCAGAAGAGATCAGCTACTGCTCTCTCCTCGGCTGCAGCACATCGCTTCCGCCAAAGAAGGAGAAGCCACACGGAACCTGCAGGGTGCGATCGAAGTGTCATTTGTCATTGGAGATATAGGCGTCGGGAATTTTAATGCTGCTGCAGCTTTGGCTCTTCTGTCGACTAAGCGTGCAGGGGTGAGCACCGTCTGCCCATGTTCAACGCCAGTCAGCGTCAAAGAGCCCCATGCGTCGTTGTGATGACGATGGTGACGATGTGGTGGTGATGATCATGATGACGACTACTACTATGACGACGACGACGATGATGACTATGATGGCAACGACAATTCTTCTGCTGCTGCTGATGATCATGGCGAATGATGGTGACAATGGTGATGGTGCGGACGGAGACGCTGCTGAAAGGCTGAAACTGCCGTTAAGTCTGAATGTGGGCAACCCGCAAGAGCGCTACGAGTCGGTACCACAGCCATCAGCCTGCAGCAACTGCTGCTGTAGAGATCAGCAAGGGTAGTGGTCGAACATGGCTTCGGTCATGCAGCAACATGGTGGGAGACTGTCGGAATGGATGCCGTTCAGTGTTTATGTACTTTCTTGTAGCCCTGTAGAGGTACTGCAGCGGTGTTCTGTTCGCAACACATCACTGAAGGAGCATAGCCTAGCTGAAGCAAATGCTGCGCATTCGCCGCCGATGTGGCATGCTTAGGTGCCTTGAGTTCCTTCCTTGGGTGCCCTTTGCCGTGTGACAAACAGAACACAGATTGAATGTTTCATATGTTTTCTCAACTTCTTTTCAATTGCCGCTCGGCACCGATTCTGATGCAGGATCCGTATGCGGCTCGCGCTCATCGGCAAAGGAGAAGATGATCGCTGCTCGATTTGGCTGTCTCCTCAGTACCTTTTCCCAAGTGCCCCAACGCTCGAAAGTCTCTGGATCTTCAGCTGAAGGCCGTACAGAGGGACGGACTGCATGCGTCCACAGGTAACGTGCATTGCCGGTGAAGCTGTAGGCAGCTCGACGAGGCACCAAGCAGTCAATATCCTCATCAGTATACGAGTGTTGTGCGAAGTGCTCGTCATCATTCGCGCGTTCAGCTTCGGCTCTTAAAGCAGCTAGAGGCGAGAAGGTTACCACAGCACTGCTGAGAAGAGACAGGACGAACGTGTTTGGTCCATCCCCTAATGGGTCAATGTGGGGCACCATTTGGTAGTCATCCGTAGATCGCATATTCACAGTTACGTCTCGAATCGGTCCCAATGGATAACCTGGTAATTCCTCCAGCTTGGAGACCACGCGCCTCAAGGCTGGAGGCAGTTTCGTCTTGTCAAAATCACTGCCCCATCCCCATGGTGCTAATGCCTCAGTCCTTTTCTCGTCCCTCCCTGTCAGTCTCCACGAAGCTGCCAACGCCGCGTCGTCCGACGCGTCCGTGGTGAATTCGTAGCCATGACGATCTACAAGCTCTTGCAGCTCAGAGAGGATGTTTGCCTCCTCTGTCTCTGTGACCACGTCAAGTTCAATACGAATGCCAGGATTCTCCTCGTCACTCACGGTATTGCCCTGCATGTCTCGCAGATACATAGCCTCTTTCTGACCGAAGGAGCGATATTTCGAAAAGTGCTGAGGCGCAACAACGTAAGTGTCCTCTTCCATCTTACGAACTCCGACACCAAGATCCATCCAAAGTTCCCACGCCTTGCGTGGAGATACGACGACGGGCTTGGGAAGCGTATACTCCCCAATCATCTCATACAGCATCCCAGGGCCTTGTGCTTTGCCGTGTGCTTCGCCTTGCTCAAGAGCAGAGTTTGATGGCAAAGCAAAGCTGCTGACTCGGCCCACTCGGCATGATGCCCACCAGAGCAATGCTCCGCAGAGGTACAGCAAGTAAACGAAGTAAACTTTGCAAACGCTTCTTCGATGCAGGGGCCGCATGGCATCACGCATGGCCTGTACGAGCTGAGTTGGGGGGGTTGGGCGACCGCCCCTAAGCCATCTTTCATGAGCAGATGTGCGTAGTGTATAGTAGTGTGGTTTTTTTGTGACTACATGCGTACGACTTGTGAATACCTGACCCTATTTGTGTCAAGGCATTGACGGCTGGCTTCCAGTTTCTTAGAGGAAGGAGTCCAGTGAAGCATGCCGACAGCTCGTTGTCGATGCAACTGGGAATAATGGAAATGACAATCGCAGGTTGAGCGGAGCTCTTGAGCAAGCGGAATCCGACATGCCACTGCGCTACTATTCCGGAGATGGGTTTATGGTCACGTGCTGTCAGCACAGTCTGACATAGTCTGTAAATGTCGGTATTAGGGAAGGGCCAAGAACATGAAGGAATGCACTTGTTGTGATGATGCAATGCTCGTCCAAGCCCGCGTGGACTCGAAACAACACGTATGTATATAGTAAACCATAACGGAACCATGGGCGAGGGGTGCGTGCGAGCCAGGGTGAATGCGCAGAGTTTGTAGTGTGGGTGAAAGAATTGGATTGAAGAAAGTAAGTGCTGTAGCATACCTGGAAGAACTGGTTTGAAGCAGGTCGAATCAACAAGATATCAATCCTGGGAATCCTAGACTACTAAAAACTTCGAGCTAAGAGTCATCTCAACTCCTTTACCCAATCCTGAAGCTTCTGAAGTTTCGGAAGCTTGAACCGTTCTAAGAAGGCCCGCTTTTTGAAGCTCTGCGATGCTCTGCGCAGCTACCCAGAGGAAGCGCTTTCTCTGGTCTTGGCTCAGCACCATCAGCCCACCCATTGCCAGAGCAAAAGCATGCAGGCAGCTTCGCAAGTGCCGATCTGTCCCATCCGCCCAGGTTTCAGCGTGGATTGCCCGCGAGGAGCCGGCCCTCTTTGCCATCGCCACAGTACCCGAGAGCTTTGTGATGCTCTCGGTGCATCTGCACGGTCTCGCAGCCGATTCCTGAAACACTCATTTTAATGTCGGTGGCAGCACGCCCACTGCTTGAACCGGAAGCGGAAGATTTCCGACTTCGGTGCTCAAGATGAGCTGGTCGCTTTGATCTTCCAAGGACTTCGCTGCAAAACGCACCTCGGTCGAAAATCCACGAGAGCTGAGAAGATAGTTCCAGCAATGTGAAACAGACCCCCTGGCCCCAGATGATCCATCAAGATAATGAAGTTGAGTTAGGTTCTCACTCGGCATACCTGGCCCTGCCGAACCCTGATTTCGAAGTTGCCTGATGGACTGTGCTAGACATGCCAGCATATGCCAGCCAAGCCACGACCAAATAAGCAGAAAGACCCGGCGGAATGCTACCAGAAGCTGTTCCAGGCTGTCGCCTTGTTGCCGCATCAAATCGGACAGGGTCGCTGGAGAATGCCCGGTTCGTACAAGGCATCACTCCTCGTCTTGTTACATTGCCAAGTGATTCAAATGCTTTAAGTATTCAGCTTAAACACCGCCAGTAGCTGAGCTTAGCTATGTGTAGCTCATCAGTTGTTCAAGCAAGGGTGAGCTGACTTCGTCCAGGCTGCGAGGGCACAGTGCTTTGCCCGACCTTCGCAATGCTGAAGACTCTTCACTGCTAATGCTAGACTATGCACAAGAACTCCAGACAAGGCGGCGACGTGTTGCGAATCTCAATGCGCACTTCGTAGCTTTGACCAACCCGGCAACCTCCAAGCTCCGAACTCTGCCATCTTTTTGGGGGGCAGAGCAAAACTGAGAGCACGACCTTGAAAGAGTGCAACTTCAGGGATCACCTGGATGCCCGCCTCAGAGGGCATAGGATGCATATTATGCATGGCTGCACGCGGGGAGCATGTTTCGCCTTTGAAGGCTGGCTGTTGCAAGCTCGCTGCAAAGCTCGGGTTCTTGCGTTCGGACTCTTCAAGCCTTTCTTGTTGCTCTCTGGCACCGGCCCTCGCACACAGCCACACGGGCCACAAGAGAAGGGGGGTTGGCCCCTCTTCTGACAAAGCCGGAGCAATTGGTGGAAAGGCAGAAGCAAGCCTCTCGGAACGATCTGAATGCCAGACTGCTCAGCAGGATAGCCTTCTCCTGATTGAGAAACTTCACGAGATCTTCCCTGGCAGGCTTCATGAAGTCGTCTGTCAGAAAGAAAACTGTCGTGGTCATTCGGGCCGGTCGGGCCTGATTATCAGATTTGTCTGCCTCGATGTGGGAAACAAGCCCCGTGGCAGTGAGCGTTTGGGAGTCCAGCTGCTTGTCCCGCAGGTTCTTGCGGACCTTGTTTGAAAGCGACCCACAACATGCAAGGCCTTCCTCATGACACATTCTAAACATACAAAGACGGTCGACAATGACAACATCGTGTGGTGAAGCGAGGGACAGCATCCAGTTGACACCTGTCTTCGGCCAGCTTCGCCTCGCGTGTGAGCAATGCGCAAAACTGTTTTTGCCTCTGGTGTCTGATTGTCTGTGTACTCGGTGCATACTCGAGCGAACAGAGAAACACGGCATTTTTGCTCACTGTCACGTGTGCAACACAGTCTCACTGCTGGGAGGTGGCGACGACTGCAGCTATTTGTGCATCCTCATCCTCCCCACCTGGCCAGGCCATGCACCAACACATAGCAACGCATACCAACGCATTGCAAAGCACGAAGCGACAAGTGATACAGCTCTGGGGAGTTGGCCACTAGCATTTCCCACACATGGCTCCAGCGAGCCGAAGGCATCCTGCAGCGGCTTGTGGCTGTTTTTGTTTCAACCCTTGAACCCTTTCAACATCCTTTGAACCATAACCATTCTGAGATGCTGTGAGATGTGAGACACATTGATGATATTGTGAAGCATCGTGAAGGTGGTGCCTCGAGCACGGTGCGAACGGACTGGGTTCGAGCCATTGGTCTCTCAAGCCAAGGTGAGCTAAACAGGAATTGCTGGGCTGAGGCAGACACATGAGCCAAAAACACAACAGCAACTCTCCAGCAACACAAGTTGTTGTTCACTCCGCAGCCATCACTTGATTCGCTTTGACGCCGCTACGACTTGTGGAGTCTCTCCGCGTCTTCACAAATGGAGCTCGCTCAGCTGACGTGTCATTCCGGATCAGCCCTGGGCAGTTCCTGCCTCTAGTAGTACTGGCTGTGCCACTTGCCGAAAGGACGTCCAGGAATTTGCGGAAAGCTCTGGAAAGGCAATGCCGGGGAAACCGTCCTAGATGATGCCCATGCCGTTCATCTTTCACGCCGCCTCAATGGGCTCCTGCTTGCGTCGGTCTGCTAGTTGCGTCAGGGTGTGATGGTCCACAAGAAGAAGTGTTGTGCAGGGTTCCAAGACACGCTCGCTGTCATCATTCTCTCATCCCGCAGCTGCGAGAGCTGCTTTTGCTGTTGGTCGTCTGGTTTCGGCTGATAGCTTATCACCTCGGCTATTTGGCTCACTGCGGGCAATGACGATTTGTGCTCAGACTCTGCTCTTATCTGCCCCCAGCGATGATCTCTGCAAGTCACGGTCATTGACGGTCTACAGTCTAGTCAGGCAATGACAGTTGTGTACATTGCATTACATTTCTGAGCGGCAGGCAGTTGATCCTGGAGGCATCACAGAAACCTTGACTTGGATTTTGAATGGATTCTGAAGCAAACTTGTGGGATCTTGCTTGGGTCCGTAGGTTGAAGTCAAGTTATCATGAAACTGGGGCAAACCTGGGCGCGGCCTATGTAGGCAGCCAAGGTGCTGCCTTGAGCAGCATTTTCAATCGCACCTCTGCTGGCCAGAGGGCATCATTGAGCCACAGCACCCCCGTGGTTGACAAGTCTGCGTTGGTGGCATCTCCGCAGACAAACTCGACGTCGACGGGGACACTGCTCTTGAGATCTGCTGCCAGACTCTCGGAATCAGCAACCAAGCACTGCAAAAGCTCGTATCCAGTACAGTTGAAGCCCAAGGCTGTGGCTGCAAAGAGACATTGGTAGCCAATGGCACTTCCTCCTACTGTGTACCGCAAGCCTTTCTCCAAGTAGTGCGGCATTTTCTGGCTCAGTGAGCTGTCAGCCATGACCTGAAGCCAGGTTTCAAACCACGTGGTGCCATAGGCGCAGGCCACACTTCCGGATCCCAGCTCCAGGCACTCCTCCCACCGCCGCAGAGCCCAGTCAGACGAATTCTCCATACTTCGGACTCCTCGAATGACATGAGTCAACTGGTGCAAGCCTGGTGGAGCCTCGATAGCATTTGAGAGCCTTGCGATGGGATCCTCACTGTGTCCACTGTCTGCATTGGAGCCAAGAGCTGCTGCATACTTCTTGGCATACTCCTCCTCTTGCCGGAGCCTGTTCTCGAGGAGTCGGTTGCTGTCCAACTGTGTCATCGATAGTCGGAAGGGCCATATCCCTTTTTCCGTTGCCAACTCTATACGTCGTCGCACCAAGGCTTTAGCCTCATCAACCTTACCTCGCAGGCTGAGCACTCCACTTAGGCTGTAGTAAGCCCCATCATAATCCGGATCCAGTCTTAAGGCTTCCCAAAAGCTTTCCTCAGCATCCTCCCAGTTTTCCTGAAGCATTCGAACGATACCCAGGTTTCCATGAGCTGCGGCATGGCTCGGATCCGCATCGATGGCTTGCTGGTACCTTGCAGCAGCGCTTCGCAGGTCGCCCCTCATCTTGTGAACGACTCCCAGCTGAGTGCATATCTCTGCAGTCTCTGCAGTCTCTGCATCCCTTGGATTCAACACCAGCGCAGTCTCCAGCGATGTCCTTGCGTCATCAAGCTTTCCCAGCTGCCGCTGTAAGATTCCAAGCTTTGTATGCGCAGATTGTAGGCGCGGATCTAGGGCAAGAGCATTCTGGTAGCTGGTCTCTGCGCGACTTAGGTCGCCAAATTGCGCCATGACCTCAGCTAGCTCCACGTGAAGGACCTTGTCTGTAGGGTCGATGTCGAGGATGCCCTGCAGACTTTCTGCAGCCTTGGAGAGATCGCCATGCTTGCGCAAAAACTTGGCAAAGTATCTTTGCACAGGGACGTGCCCCGGAGCCAGACGAACAGCTTTCTCGTACTCTGCTTTCGCGCCCGACCAGTTGCCTCGAGCTTCCTCCACAAGGCCGAGGCTGAACTGGGCAGGAGCATTGCTCGGCGAAACTTCAAGTCCATTTCGGAAAGAAACGGCTGCTTCCTCCAAGCGTTGCTGCTGCTGCAGCAGGCTGGCCAACCGGAGATGCGGCTTGGCATTGGGCGTTGTGATCGTTGCGGGCATGCTCAGAGCCGACCGAAAGACCACTTCTGCTTCCTTGAAGTCGGCATTTCGCTTCAGGGCATCGCCCAAACTCAATGTGGAAGCCAGGTGGTTTGGATTTAAGCGAACAGCTTCTCGGTAGCTCGGAAGTGCAGATTCTAGTGCGCCTTCCCGCTCCAACACGATACCAAGGCTGTAATGAGCCGCTGACATCATTGGATCCAGCTTGATGGCCAGGCTGTAGCTTTGTGCTGCTTGGCTTAGGTCATTTAGCTGCTCACAAGCCAGGCCGAGGCTGAAGTGATTTGCAGCCGTCTCTGGAGCCAACCTGAGCCAAGCCCAACACATTTACAAGCCGAGGCCTCGGGCCGCTGAAAAGTTTAGGCAGCAGTCTCAAAAGTACAAAACCAAGCACTAAGCACATACTAAGCACTCTGCGCCACCCCCAATTTGTTGCTTGAAATGGGGACCCGTTCGACCAGCATCCGGGAGCGGACGGTGTGTAAGAGGACCAGAAAGATTTGGGGGCCATCGGGGACGGACGCTCCCAACACACCCTCCTCCAACACCCCCCCTCCACCTCGCCCCACCTCGCCCCACTCCTTATGCGGAACTTCGCCGCACAGTCCCGGCAGCGCCATTGCCTTCATGGCGTCCTCAACACGTGAAGCTTGCGATTTTTCATCCCCGTGGTTGCACGGCTGTCGCTTACACAGCCGACCATAGAATAAAAACACAAAAGCCGGTGTTATCCCCTCATACTCTTCGGCAAAGGCCACTCTCACGGCCGAGGTGGGTTGCGATTTTTAACAACCCTGGTATTCGCCCATTACGCCTGTGCATCGTCCGGCCTTGTAGCTTCGAGGTAGTGGTGCTTCGCACCCTCCAAGTCTGACAGCTTCTCCAACACCTTGCCACGCGCTCGGAAGGCGTCTGCGTAGTCTGGGTACACACCGATTGCCTTTTGAAAGCTGTCAGAGGCACCTGTTCAGAACAATGTGAATAAGTGACGCCAGTGATGGTAGGACTGATAGTCTCACTCGCGCACACAGAGAGGTGCCCCAAAAAACCTGGCAAACCAGTGTCGCATGTGAAAGGCAGTGCACACATCAGTGAACTAGAATGCAAGAGAACGGAAGAATCTGCAGGGTGATGCTATACATTGCTATACCGCCCAGTCAACCTTTCACTGCAAAGGCTGACTACTCCTTTTGGGTGCCTTGTAAATCGCCGCTCTCTTCCAGTTGCTGCGCCCGAAGGAAGTGGGCTTGGGCAGCTGGCGGTGGCAATGCCCGGGAAATCTGAAGCAGCACAGCGGCCAGACCCAACAAAGCCACAGAAGCTCCTGACATGGCTCTAGCTCATAGGCTCATAAAAAGGCTGTCATGTCATGGGCTGTCAGTACGTCATGTGGGCCAAATTCTTGAAGATCCGATCGTACAGCTCTGAAAGCGAGTGCCGACGATGTGGCGATGGGTCTTTGTTCGGCTCGTCAGATGCATCCCATGGCTGAGGCGTGCCACTGTGTGTGAGCGCGGGGTGTCCGCAAAGGTGCAGGCGGCCGGTGCAACCATGCGCCCTCTTTGTACACTGGCAGACTCAAGGTCTCACGCAGAGCTCTAGGTAAACTCAACGAAAACCGAGTGCTATGAGCCACACCACGTGCACTCTCATCATTGTGGAGATGCTTCCTATGAACGAAAGTGTCTGGCTGCCAGCCGAAGCGGCTTGAAGCAGCTGGACAGTGAAACGGCGACATCTTTGATGTGCGAGTGACAGGCGCAAGCACCGATAGTTTGTTGCGCATTTCGGGCTCACTTGAACGATGGACAACCTTGCTACAATAGAACCCTGAAGCGACAAAACGTAGGGGAGCTGAGAGAGCACACATAACTACGCAGAGCACATTGGCTCCGTCGATGAAAAATTCAATGAATACGCTTCAGTCCAAACTCTCTGCCGGCCTCAGCTACTGCATTCCCGGCATTCCCAAGCACCAAAAAGGTGACTGGAGTCATCTGCGTGCATTCGACTAATGATGGTTGATGTGTAGAGTTCACACAGCCGTGTGCAGCTAGGATGCGGTTTTTGCAAGCATCTCCGTCATATTATCCATTTTTCTGCTGAGGTCCTGGTGGTGAGCAGTTGGTTGGCTGACTTATTTCCAAGACACCAGAAAGCCTTGCCTCCACAGAATGTTGAAGGCGCGCGATGGCCTTGGCTTTTGCTAGCATTGCTGAATCCTTGCGTCGGGTCGGGCTCTTGTGAGGAATCTCTTGCTATCGTTTGCGAAAGCGCTTTCACAGGGCCGGGGAGAGTGCCTCACCATGATGCATGGTACTCTGCATCAGCTTGCTGATCTGGTCTTCACCACCTTTGTCAGAGAGGTGATGCAGGTGGAAACTTGGTGGAAATATCGGTTTGTCTTGTCCAAGGTTGGGGCCATCGACGATGCGGTCCTCTGCTTGTATGCGGAGGAACAGGGCAATGCCAAGCGGACGCACAAAACTTTTGAAGAACAGGGTCCTTGTTGCTCTTCAGTGAGGTGCAAATGTCTTCCAAAATCTGGCAATTCCTGGCAACGCATGGCCACGGCTGTCTACTGCACACACGGGTGACTGCAACTCGTGGCATGCCTCAAGCTCTGCGTTCTGGTTTCGAGGTGGAGGGCTTCCAACCTGCAAAGCGGGATCCGCTGTGTGCGTAGTGCGAACTCCCTCGCCTATACCGGCTGTTTAAGTGAAATAAAGGATCTGCCAATAATGGCTCGCGCACCTCATCGTTGACTTTTCGGTCACAGGATTTCCAACCTGGGTGCGAAATCCCACATGCTCCGGGACGAATTTGCCATGCACAAGGGTCACAAGGGCGTGTTGGCTCAGGCGCAAGCGTCGAGCAAGCATTCCACAAACTCTTCCTAAGAATGCAAAACTAGCACAAAAGGTAATCTCGGATAGTCGCGCTTGTGGCCCCCAGGTGCTGCGCGAAATCGTCAAAACGTACTTTCCAGTGCCATACCGGCAGTATTCAGTATATTCGGCCGAGTGTCCATATGAATGACTTGCTGATTAATTGAAAGCGTCTTCATGACCTCACGAAAGTTCTGGCAGAGGAACACGATGGAACGTTCCAAAGTGGTTGCAAACACTCTGCCTCCGTTACATGCCGAACGGGAACGCGACACATTTTGGCTGTCCTCAGCATGTGGCAGTCAATTTGGGGAGGCTTGAAAGGCACACGTGTGCTGGCACACGTGTGCTGGGCAGATCCAGCTAAATGTGTATGACTAGATGGCTGGGGTGGGTGGGTGACTACGAAGGCTATGTCGAATCGATCTGGATCGGCTGACGGCTTCGAGATATGGGCTGCGTCCAAGCTTCTCGTATGCGTTGTCAGGGATCGAGAGGAAATGCATCAAGTCCTTCTCCCGCACAATCCCATCCTGGGTTGAATATATCGAAAAATGCTGAAAAAGCAGACTGGTATGTAGATTTCTTCCAAACGTGCCAAACACTGGGACGTGACAGGTCGAGAACGCTTTGAGAGAACTTGAGAGACCGACGCCTCTGGTGTTAATTTCCTTGAAGAGCTCCTTCAAGTCTTCAATGTGGCGCTTCCTCAGCGCACATGAAGTTTTGGAGCAGTGCCTTTGTCAGGAAAAAAAACGGCGTTGGAACAAGAAGGCCTGAAGATGTGTGAACCGTTATGATCCTGTCTGCAAGTTTCCGGTCTTCTTCTTCTGACATGAGCTGGATCTCCTTCCAGGCAGGTTTCGTGCAAATTAAACCACACGAAAAAACGCAGACCATGACATGCACTGGGCAAAGCAGAGCAAACAACCGCGCCTTCTCTTGACTGGAAGTCGTGGAGATCATGTTTTCGCTGACCTTGGTCGGCCAGGTCTCCCGAGACCATGCGGCGCTGCGGAATGCCAGTGGGCGTCTGCCCTCCATGGTAAACTCATCTGCTCGCATACGACCATGCCTTGCATAGTTACACATCATACGTCTCAGTATAAAATGACCTCATATGACCTCCTTCACCTGCGGTGAGGGACGTCTGTGGATTCTGAGTGGGCGACAACTGCTGTCAGTATGGACAGCAGCGTCCACGAGCTTGTCACCATAAAGAACACAAATGCAAACTTGAACGTCGGAATGTTGTCCATAATGCCTAAGAGGTGCTTGCAGCAATTTTGCACAGACTGTGCAAGTCTGTTCGCAGGAGTTTCTGAATGAACTAATCTGAACCAATCCAAAGCACTGTCCAAAGCAGCAGACTCCGAGTCAGATTGAGCACCGCTCATGACCCGAAAGAGAGTGAACATGCTGTCTGGCACCTGGGCAAGTAAAGGGCAGTGTCGATACGCTGGAAGCAAGGTATGCAAGAGAAATCTGAGATGTCTGCAGTCTTGAAGGGCAATATCAAAGCTTCGTCCACCTCCTGCAGGTGTGAGACGGCATTCATGTGCCATGAACTCATGCCGGATGCCGGGGACTTCATGCCAGCTTTCTTCATTCCTTCCATTGTTATCGTGCCGATTGCCTGCTTGCCTCACCCTTACGAGTTCCCGAATCTACGACCTAGTCCCAAGCTCTGGGGCACCTGAAGGGCTCGGATTCTCAGTGTTGCAACGCGTGCCTTCATCTACTTTCCCCATTGCTACGAGGGGGTTCACTTGTTTCGCGGCAGGGCTGGAGCGCGCTGCCCGAGCCCCTATCCTGCGTGGCCTGCCATTTTGCGTAGCTTCAGAACATGCCTGCTGATCTTCGTTGTTTCACAGTGTCAAAGACGGCTCTGTGGCTTTGTGGGCCGTGGCCCACTTGAAAAGTCCGTGTCGCTGAGAACCGCTAAGGCTTTCTTGTGCAATCCAGCCACTTCCCCTGCTTCGAAGATCATCTTGTGACCTATGAGTCTCGTCGTCAATATACCCATGGCGTAAAGAGTAACCTTAGTCCGCCGGACTTCGGCATCGCATCTCTAGGAGTTTGTCGGTTGTCAGAATTCTCAAGTCAAAATTACATGTCTCGTCTGCAGCTAGGAAGCCACGGTGAGGACCAGCACCCAAACCACCCCTTGAACAGCCGCCGTGACCTTTCTCAATTCAATGTGCGCAGCGGGGGCGGCAAAACCACTCTGAAAGTTGAGAACTGAGGCAGCAACGCTAACCACGAGAATGTACAGTGGCCGAACAGACTTCACAAGCCTCGCAACATCTCGCAACTTGCCAGTGTCATTCTTACGGCTTTCAGACTTGCGCAAAGTGGCTTTGCCAGACGCAGAATTCGAAGTAATCGAAGCAGTCGCATCCTGAGTGGCCGAACTTTGCCTTGATGCCCAAGTGACATTTTTGACTTCCGAAGCAGGTATGAACTGCCCTCAGGCATTCTTCGCATCGCAGAGGACCCGACAGCATCATCAGCTGGCCAACATTGACACCGTGCGCTGCTTTGCTGCTTCGACGTGTGCCTTGTGCTTTGCTTCATTTTGCTTCTCTTCTTTCACAGGACCCAGGAGGTGCTTCAAAAGAGTGCATGACAAATATGACAAGGCAGCTGTTCAAGCAAGCAGCTTTGATCTCCCTGGAATGATTTCCTGTGAGATGCCCCACTCATGCATGCAACAATATGCTCACCATAAGCACCACGATTCTCCTGGCCACGTTGACCAAAGGCACCAGCCACGAATCGCCCTCAGCTACCGTTTCCAATTCATAGGGTGCATCGTGCGCTTCATTTCAGACGTTCAGAAGCAGATCATGCCCATCCCATTTCGTTCTCCTGGCTCTGCTACCTGCTATGTTTAATGTACTTGCATTTCTAGCTTGCGAAGTGCGACCCAAGTGCCGCTGAACTGACCACGATCGCCAAATCCAGCAAATTCCAGACCTGGGCACGCACATATCATATCATCATATGATCAATGCAGACAACACAGCAACAAGCATCTGGAAGCTCCACAAGCATTTTTGCTGCGGGGTCGCAAGATCTGGACTGTCGCAAGAGAAGAAAAAACAACCCAGCCGTTTCATGCGCACGACCAGCTCGAACACGTAGATGCCTTGTGATTTGAGTGTGGTCCGAGCAATGCGCTCCACTGCGGGCTTGTTTGCAACTTCTGAAACAAGCACCTCTGCTTCTCAACCTTGCCCGCCTGGTTAATTACCTTTCAAGGACAGCCACCACAATCAAAGCCTGATGCTTAAGTTTCAACCCTACCCCTTTGCCAAATCTGGCGAATTCTCCAACACGCCTCTATCCGAAGTAAGCTATAATTACAAAACCCAACCTGCGTGAGAGCACAAGAATTTCCACGGGGCATCCAGCGCGATCGATTCAGCCAAGAAGCACAATAGGAAGTTCTCAATTACCGCCCAACCGCCCCACTCATAGTCAGTCTCGAATCCCATCAGCAAAGCGTTGAACGCAATCACACCGCCTGGGACGGACCGAGGGACGGTTTTGTGACCCATTATAGTAGCTTCAATTTCAATGTCTCCATATACTTTGCTCTTCCAAGACCGCGGCCGATGAAGGACTGGAAAGTGGGTTGCTCCGTGAAGGACAAGTCCCACTCGAGCCTTGGCCATGTGAGGTGAGCATGGGCACAACTGCAATGGGCAAGAAGTACGCATCAGTCTTGCATCACTGCTACACCCCATTTACGTACCTGCATCACAGACGAAGACGAGGCCCGCACACAAAACCAACTACTTTGAACACTCGAGTCAGCCGCAGCAAACGGATGACGCCAAGCAAGTTGGACCATGATCCTGTATCAACCTTCGGTGTTCAACGGTCTGTCCGAAGCATGCTGGTGGACATTGCTGTGCGTGCCCGTGGTGCGTCGCTGCAAGCTGGCTGATCAGAAGACAACTTGAATGCAACGTTATTTTGAGGCCACTGCGGGCAGAATAGGGGCCAGCCACTGGTCAAGAACCTGACATGTCTACACCCATGGCCTGAGAGTTGGCCGTAAAAAAATACTACGATGTGCAAGAGGCAATCGGAAAGATCGGAAAGTCAAGGTCTGGACCCCGGCTCCGACCACGATGAGGTCCAGGAGGCTCCAAAGTAGCAGGTGACGTGGGCCACAAAGAAGCCGGCACCTGAGGGGTGCTGTCTGAGGGGATTCTTGGTGCTGACTCTTAAGCTGACTCTGTGTGACAATAAAGAGAGAAGAAGAGGAGAGGTAGAGAAAAGAAGACAAGAAAGAGTGTACTGCTGAAAGGCTCTAAACTCAGGGGAGATTTGTGATGTTCCACTGAGACCCACGCTTCCATAAACCTACCCGGCAAAGTAGCTCCAAGACATAGAAGAGCAAAGTGGCTTGGTCTAGCCAGTACCTGACTGCAAGACAGGTCTTCTGAAGCTGTTGCCTAGACTTGACTCTGTGCGCTACACAGAGTCACAGAGACTTGTAGAGGCGTGACATGCCCATGAACTGACAGACATCACTTGCGATTCGAGGCACAGCTTCTTGACCAAGTCCTGCTGCTGTAGCTCTCAGCATGAGAACAGCACATTACCGTCAGTCCCCGAGGGGTACATGTCCTACGTGTGGTAATCATCCACATTTCCCCAAGACTTTCTGTGTAGCTACGCGCTCCTCCGAGTCTGCTTCCAAGACGATACTGACGGTATTGGAGCAGATGACGGAAGCTGCAACCAGGTGGAACCACCAGGACTCCACGAAGCAGAATATCGACCTTTACTGCAAGCACTGCAAGCTTATCATGAGGGCACGGGTTCAACTTTCACAGGTGCAGTAGGACATCAGTATAATAAGTGTGGGCAAAGGGCTCTCTGTCCGATGGCGACATGGCTTCAACTTCATCGGGGTTGTCAACGCGGAGTAAATCCTCGCTGATGCCGTGAGTCAAGGCCATGTCTCCTTGGACCCATGACAGCGCATGACAAGCACGGCTGACGCTTCTCACTTATGAAGAGTAGGCCGAGTAGGCGCGGCGCTCTTTCCCTTGCGAGGCGGCGTGGCCTCGTCACTCGGGACATAATACTCCTCGTGCAATGGGACCTTGTGGTAACCTGAGACAAGGGTCTCAAAACATGTCATATAAAAGCTTGCGGAGAGTCGAAGTTTCAGAAGTCTCAGAAGTCTCAAAGCGGTACCCGGGGGCTCTACCATTTGAAAGCGGTGATGGCACCATGGCCGCACTTTGAGCATGACTTTTACATGCTTGAGCCCACCTGCAAATTTTGGATGGGGCAGCGCCATCACGTCTTAGCTGCCCAGCGAGGGGTGGGGGACCTGTCTCTCATGACGCCGCATCACATTCGCATCACCTTGTGCAGAGCACCTTACTTGTAGTATGTAAAGCTGCGATTTCTTCCGAGCGGGCGGTGCGCTGAAGTCCGCGCTGCTCTTCTGGCAGGGCTTGTTCAGTGAGACTGGGTAGCTGAGAGTAGCTGATCAAAGTTGTGGGCACAGGCTAGGGTACCTTTTCTTTGTAAAAGATGGGTGGTGAGTGGTGCTAACGTGCCTTTGTGTATGCCATCAGTCGGATGATCCTCGCAGCCGTCTTTGCAAAAGCCATCCTGGTACACAGGGCTGGGCGGATTTCTAGCTTCGGAGAATGGGCTGACTGGGGATGAAGCCATTGCTCCATTGATACGGAGAGGCCCGCAGATGTCATGACCGTGTCGAAGATCTGCTCCATTCGGTCCTGCGCCACGACACAGGATCACTGCAGTTGACGTTCTCTCGACTCGACACTTTTCAGGGGCGCGGCCTCACGGATATTTGCATCTGGGAGTTTCGCTGCAAGCTGAACAAGGCAGGTGCGACAGTCCTGCCCAAGTGACATGACATCTCACTGAATCTTACAAGTACGAACTTTGGCCCTCCTCCGATGTCATGGACTCACCATCATTGGAGATATTCATAAACAACATCCTCAGGCATGGTAACAGTAACCGAGGGCTGCTGGCACTTCAGCGCAAACATCGTGCAAACTGTTAGACTCATGAAACACATCGGACACACAGCGCTTGGTGCAGCTTGGCCGCAGTGTGTCCTCCTCGCTTACAGGATGCTCCCGCAACCTCCGTCGAAACTGAAAATCAAGAAATCAGGTTTGATACGAAACGCACAATAGCAATCAATAGCACACCTCCATCAGACTCTATCCGGTTCTCAGGCAGCAGCAGCGTGATGAACCCCTGAACGTCCACACAAAAGTCTTCCCTGCCAGATGCGATCTTGAGCAGTTCGGTGTCCAGATCCTTCAAGCTTGCCGGTGTCTTCGTGTAGTGACGTCACACGACGCCATGTTTGCCTTGGGAAGTCCTGCTCAGAGACGCCGCTGTTGACCAAGATGAAGTTCCTCAACTGATCATGGTCCTCGGCTTGTCCGCCGGTTTCTTTTGCTGTGTGTGGGCATCGACGCGATTCGACGTTGCCATGCCGCCGGACAGAACTGACAAGCGGCGAAACCCAAACGTCCAAAGGAGCAACGTGCATTTGAACATCGAGAAGTCACAAGGACATTTTTTTATGGCCCTGAAGGAATATTTCAGTGTACATCAAATGTAGCTGTTTCTACGGGATCTGAGATCCAAGCAGGTTGCAGCACGGCTTGTCCCGAAGACAAGCTCTTGAACGCAGCTGTGAAGGCTGCCTTGAGTAAAGTGGATGCTTAGCAACTTTGCGAGCGTTTTCGTCACGTTTTGGAAACTCTTGTACCTTTCTTGCGCTCGGCCTCTTCTGCGCCTTCCAAGTCCAGCTGCATGGCCTCACAAAGCACACGGCTCAGCATGTCTCAGCTATTCTCAGCTGGCTTGATGGCTTCGGCATACTTTCTTCTATCGGTTAGGCACCTGCCTCAAAGGTGATTGCGCTGCTCTTGCCGGCGGCACCGGCACCTGCCCCGATGGAGTGCAAGTCGTTGCGACAAGTCACCCTACAATACCCTAGCAACAGCCGGCAGGGTGCCTTCAGCTCTTGGCTTTGGTCTGCCGCTTTCAGCTGTCGGCGCTGCGGCTTTTGGCTTGGCAGCTGGCTTTTCGGGCACAGGCGCCCGACTTGCTTGAGCTGCTTGAGTTGCCTGAGCTGAGTGTACTGGCGTTGCCTTTGCCGGCGAAGACAGATGGGGTGCCTGACCGCATATTTCCAATGATTGCACGACATTGTTCATTGATCCTTTATGATCCTTTGCTAGCTGCTGGATGAAGACTTGTCAGCGAGGCTGCGCCGCAAGAGCTTGACAGAGCTCCGTGTGCTTGGGTTACATGCCCAGGTTGCCAGGGCTAAGCGGCTGAACTGACAAGCGCGGCCTGCTCTGCTGATGGCTCTTCCGCCTGAACAACTCACGAGCTGCCCGTCGTATGTGCCAACCGGTTCCAGCAGGTGCCAACAGCGCTGACATTCTCCGAGCGGATCTGCCTGATGAGCCGGCTCCGGGTCCTGTGGCGGTGGCGGCGGCGGCACGAAGAAACCTTCCTCCTCCTTTCAACACAATGAAGGAATCAAAGTTGATAGACCGCCGCCACGTCCGCAAACATAAACTAGGTCCTAACTAGGTGCTCTCTGCGTGCTCACCTCGGCGCTGACCCAAGGATTGACGTTGTAAACCTGACGGAGGAGAACAGCACAAGCTGAAGGAAGCTACGAGTATAGTGGCTCAAGCTGGTGGCGCAAGCTGAACTACACCTGCCAAGACTTTTTTTTGTATCTTGCAGTCCTTGCAACAGCTCGAGGGTGCCTTCGGCAGCTAAGTCTTGCTACTCGTCTCGGCCAATTGCGCTCAGGACTGTTAGTGCAGTGAATTCTGCTCGCTTCACGACTGTTCAATTTGTGAGCCGAGCTCTTACAAATTGAGGAGGATGACATGCTGAGGATTTTGAAAGACGGACACCCTACCTAAGCAATGTCACTGGGTCGACCCAGAAAAGGCAATGCAAGCTCAACCACTTCTCCACTTTGACCTGTAGTCTGCTTCAACGGACGTGGCTTGGTCCGTTATTTGTCATACGGTCCGTAGACAGCATGCCAAATGCGCCATCGGTCCGAACAGATTGTGAAAGCATAGGAAACCTGGCATAGAGCTTGTCGCGCACCAATCTGGCTTTGAGCTCCCCGAGCTGGGCAACATCCATGTGTTCTGCTTCTTCTGATGCAACCTTGCAGACAAAAGCCATCTCCAAGGGTTTCAGAATCCTGTTTGCGTGAATTCCTTCTTGGGAAGTGTCCGCAAAGACGCAATCGCACGCTTCCAGCAACATGATACCAAAAGGGTTCATGATTCCGGTTGCCATGCCGTAGATGGGCTGACGCAGCTCTAACATGAGGCGAATCACTCGGATCCAGCGTTCGGCGATTGCCTGTGGAACCTGCGCAGACTTTGCAGCCTGTGGGCTGGAGCACCCTGCAACACAGAAGCAGACCATTGGAACATTGCGGCTCGATGCCTGTATGTCCATGAGCTTCTCTTCCATACCCTGCAGTGCTTCCTCCCCAGCTCGCAAGTCAACCATGATGGTTGCCGACGCTATCGGGCTCTCCATCTCGATACTCTTGTGCGCGACCATGACCTTGTCTCCTTTCCTTGGGCCAATATGCTGAAGCGGGGCCGTCCTGGACCTTCCCAAAAAGGCGAAGAGCAGAATCGGGATGATCCATGAACAAACAAAATCCGCTGACCCTGGCCTGACTTGCACGAGCCTGTGAAGCCTTGCTCCATATTTTGCTCCCTGGCGCCATGAATGGCCCTCGTATTCTCAAAAGCTCAGGTATCCTGGCCCCCTTGCCGTCGGTTTAAATTTAAGGTCTTTTGTTCAAAAGAAACTCGAATGATGAAGCCAGGTTGACTAGGTTGCCGCTGAAGACTCAGATGATTCATTCATGACCCGTGATGGATGGGTTGATCAATCTGAAGTGCAAAGAATTAACTGAAACAACAGTAAACAACAGTCCACCCCAGCCGTCAGCCCTCAGAAAGCTCATCCTGCAGGTTGCTTGTGGGCTGGTGTACGTACCCCTGCCCTTCATAACCCAGGGGGCCTCCGCGAGCATCACTACACGCGTGCAGCTGTCAACAAGAGTGGCCCAGCATCAGCCCTTTGTTTGCTCGTGGGCCAGGGCCAACAAAAGCAACAAAAGCATCGGACACGGAAATCGGTTGGTGTCGCGCGCACTGCAGAGACGTCGTGAGATAGTACTTGTGTAAACAATCGAAGTAGTGAGTAACACTGGTGATGGCAGCAGTATTGGCTTTTATTTGGTCAGGTACTGTCTGCTACTTGGTGGATCTGCGGTGTGGCGCAATCTGCCGAAAATCATCTCAAGAGCCTTAAAGTTCCCCAAAAGGAGCGTGCGCACACACAAACACACACACACACAGAGACGCCCTCTGACACACTGACACTGGGACACATTCCCTAATCGGCTTCCCCCCTCCACCTGCCATTTTGGAGCCGGGGATGGTGAGAGGACGCTCTTCGGGAACTCTTTGGTGACCAAATTCGCCACGGGGTCCACCTTGCAAATTCTAGGCTGAGCTGACCAAGCTAGCCGCGGTAAACAAGACTAAAGAAGACAGACCGTCTCTGCACGTCTTCGTGGTGTCGGTTGCTGTACCCTGCATCTTGCGGCTTGCGTTCTTCGCTCCGAGGTCCCAGCAGCCCTGTATACTTGAGCAGTCGGCTCTCGATCGGGTTCGGAGCCCACCTTTCGTAAACTCTCTCAGAGGACATCTCCTGAAACTCTTTGGTCAGTCTTTGAGCCTTTGGTCAAAGGGATGGTCAGAGCAATGCTGAGGGCCCCGGCAAAACAGTTGCATTCCTCGCCTTGAGGCAGTGAATGGCAAAACAGTGGCAAAACCATGGTGTGACAGCATGTCTCAGCACAAGATCGCGCGACGGCAAGGCGTGCTGCCAACAATCTGCAGGCACAAACAGGCCCCAACAGGTCCCAGGCCGATTTTCGTGATTTCCTGTCCCATGCCAACGCCGGCGCAGTGGCAAAGGATTTGTCAGGTGGCAGCGATGAGCTTGGTGGGATGGCTTTTCAAACTGGAACATAATGGAACTGCTGGAAGGGTGTGGCAAACACATGCAAACACGTAGCTAACTTAATGTGGACGAAGCTGAAACTAGCGACCACAAGATCCATGAGCCGTCGAACCGACCTGAACTGCAAACCATCAGCTTGCTGTTGGGGACATCGGTTTCGACACGTTTCAACGCGGGATTGTCGCTTGAAGTTGCTTGTGAGCCATATGCAAGGTGAAGAAAATCTGTCATGTTAGTCATGCTCTCCTCGCTGTCCCTTGTTATTCGCCAATCCTCCCCACAGAACTCTTTTCGGATCTTTTCGGCATCTCCGGGAGGCGGGATGATGGATGCCGTCACCAGCGAAATGAGGACATCGCAAAGGTTGGATAAGGTGTGCCCTTTCGACGGCACAACTCACTAACTGACATGCCCTGCAACTCAGGAGCATGAATTCCGCTGCGGACTAGGACAGAAGCGAAGCCAGCACCGGCTGCACCACTCACATCATGACAAAGTGAGTCTCCAACGTGACAAATTCGCCGGGCTCCAGAGAGCTCCAGGGTCCTCGAGGCTTCTCTGAAGATCTCTGGACCGGGCTTACCAAAAACGTACAAATGCTCACCGCCTGAAGCGGAATACTGTTTGGCGAACTGCCCAGGGCAGTTCACGGTGACACCGTTTTTGCGGTGCACAATGCAATCAGGGTTTGCAATGATTAACGGTCGCTGAGCTTTGGCCGCCGCTTGCAACACCGTTTTAAACACGGCGCAGTCACTTGCATCAGACTCGTAGTTTGATGTTATCTCAGACAATGTGCCCTTGTAGCACACCTGAACGCCATTGGCCAACACGAAGTCGCACTCGTCGACGCTAGCGACAAGTTCCAGGCCCATAGAGCGCAACTCTTCAGGTGACCATGTGCCGCGCTCTGTGTGATCGATGTGGGAGATGAAGAGGCAACGCAATCTCACTGGGGCGGCTTCACTGATCAGCTTCTCCAAGTAGCGCTTCGCCTGGTCACCACTTTGAGTAAGTACGAGTTTAATGAGTTTTCATGCATCTCTGAGCTACTGGGAATATGGGCAGAGTGCGGCGCGGCCGAACCCCCAAAGGTGAATGTGAAACATTCTCACTTTCCTTGCACCCCGAAAGCAAACTCTCGCTGTGCTTCTGCCGGGCCCTCGGATGAGCTTTACTGCAGAACCTGGCATCTTCACACAGGAGTGGGTGCATTCTGAGAATATGAGGTCTTCGTACATCGAGTGTCAGGTTCGTGCATTGTCTGAGGTACGTAGGGAGTATGAGCTTCGTGCATATCTGGGCTGCGACTGGTGGGAGGATGAGGCTCGGGCATCTACATCCGCCGAGGCCTCGGGCCGAAGGCCCCCGTAGGCGACCACGATCTGAAAGCGGACGGTTCGCCAGGACCAGGGGCAGTTGAAGCCCCGCCCAGCAGGTCCCCCCCCCCCCCCACCCCCCCCTCCAACCCCCTCCCCCGGACCCCCCCCCCTTTTGCTTGCCTCGTGCGCATTATGCTACGAATCCTGTCCAAGCCGAACCGTCTAAACCCTGAACCTTGAAACTTGAGCCTTGCACTCTAAACCCAAAAACCCCTAAACCCCAAACCGTAAACCTTGAGCCCTAAGCCCTCAACCCTAAGCTTTCCCCCCACCCTAAACCCTAAACCCGGAACCCTAAACCCTAAACCCTAAACCCAACCCTTGTTGCTTGGCAATTGCTTGGGGTCCAGCGACTTGGGCGCTGCGGAGTCACCATGCTCACGCGGATGCGCTGGGCCGGGCCGAGGGCTGGTCGCGTAGCGTTAAAGTTACTTCTGGTATGAGTTGTTCGTGTATCTCGGGGCTGCTTTGTCTGGACCCGTCGCTTCTCTAAAATCTCCATCCACGGAATGGTAAATGGTAAATGCTATTGGCCCGTCATATGGATGGTGGTACGTGACACAGCAAAGCAGTACAGAACTAGCGACAGAACAGCCAGCAACAAAAATCAGAAGCTTCATCCTAGAGCGTGCGTGGCCTGGTCACCGCTGGTCACCACATCCCGAAAGAGGTCCTTTTGCAATAGGCCGAGCCGCTCCAGCCGTAAGGCAGCTTTGGGAGACTCGCACGGCGAGTTCGACACAATAGCCATTGGAATGCTTCGCTGTTGAAGCTGCTCCAAACAATCCCGAACACCCGGGAGCACATCCCGTCCATCATGGAGCACCTCAGGGACCGACATGGATGTTCACGGATGAACTCACAGATGTTCACAGAACTCACAGAACGTTACACGACACCATACGATGCCCGATACGAATCACTGTTCTAGCTGGCTCACAGTAGATCAAACTAGGACATTGGGACGATGCTTTGGTAGAGAAGTGCCGAGGTGCTCCGTACTGGTCCAGCCTCAAGAGAAAAGCAATGCAAAACAAAATTCCTTTGTCTTTAAACGTACTTCAAGAAGCTTGAAGACTATAAAACCATGCAACATGCGTCCATTCAACAAAAACCCATCGTAGCCGCGCTCGACAAGATCAGACATGCCGTTGATGTCGCGTGTAGCTCTGCAAGAAGCCCGTCTCGTTACAAACTTCAACAAGGAAAACAACACAACCGCATGCGATGCATGCGATGCATGCCGACCGTGACAAAGTCTGCCAGCTGCGGCTTCTCCTGGAAGGCGTGCTTTCCATGCTTTCCAGAATCTCGTCTTGGGCAATCTGAAGCTTGCAGTGGTGACTCTCGCGGACACAGGTGGCTTCACATCCATGGATGGCCTCGAACCAAACATCGAACCTGCAAACATCCCTAAAGGACAAATCCTGCTCATGTGGGCGCTTTGCCTACTTACCAACTACTTACAGACACTGACACTGCGCTCTTTGCGTTGTCTTGCGTCTCCATCTATACTGGTATCTACTCTCAGTGACGACATGGGACCCCGAGCACCTCAAAGAGGCTTGCCGACATTTGCGTGCTTCATGCAGCAACCTGCTTCAACATGATAGCCGAAGAAACCACCTTTCGCAATGTTTGCGTGGCCGCAACGGTTTATCTATGCTTCTCTTTCAGCACATAGCTGACAGCGATTTGTACTTGACATTCTCGACACTTTCCTCTCTTTCCTTCTTGCCAAAGCCTTCTGTGAGACACACACCTCTACGCCGGATCAGCTCCACACCTCAGAATCCCAGCTGCACAAGTTATGCAAGTTGCAGAAGTCCCAGCGGACATTCCCTGAAGTGGTAAGCGAAGTTGTAAGGCAGGGACTGATGGCGGGGGTGTCGGTTCCCCGACGTCCCAGTCTGACAGATCATCCTCGTCAAAGCCCTGACGTGGCATTTGCATCTGAATCTGTCAAGCTCTCATTCTGCTTAATTGCAGCACGTGAGAAAAGCGTGCGAACGTGTCTTCAAAGTTGCGTGAAGGTTTGTTTGAGCACAGTTCGCTGCTTCGAGTATCCGGTGCCTGCAGAGCCTCGTCCAGTTCAGCAGCTGCCTGCTTTTGCCTTGCCGTTAGCAGCCTGCGTGCGAGCTACTTCAAAAACTCTCGATTCGCAAAGACAGGTCATGTGCCTCTCAGCTGGTTCCAGAGTCTTGATATGCCGCCTCAGCGGAACCTCTCGAATAGGCTCATGGATGTCAGGATATGTGCCGCGGCAAGCGCATCTGCACAAGCCTCAACAACCTTGAAACCGGACAGGGATGACCACTTCCTCAGTGGGACTCCGAACGCTTGCCTTTAGAACTGGAGAACATAAGCTGTGAGGCGGCCTGTAGCAAACTCAGAAGCAATAAAAAAACAGCTCTCTGCTCACATTGTCGTACAGTAATACAGCGTTTCCTCGCGCAAGACCCTCAGCAAGATTGCTGTTGTTCTGTCCGTGTTTTATCGCATGTTGCTATTTGTTTAAAATTTGTTTTGCTGAGCAGGCTGCCAGATCTTCGTGGCGGTCATTTGTGGGACGATGGAGACCACAATGCCCTCCTCCGGCTCGGGAGACCCCGGCCTCGAGAAACTCCGAAAGCTAAGCTCTGCTCAAATCTGCTCAAAGCCCAGATTTGGTTTTTATTGCTGAGGTAGAGCCGGGCAGAGTTGCTTCGTGCAAATGATGAGCAACTTCAAATCCATGAAGCAGGTGAATGGTCGGCATGGCTGTCGAAGGCTCAAGCTGGTAACGGCATGTACGGCCCGCAGCGTGCAAGTAGTCACTGATGCCTGAGACCCGAAGGCACCATAGGTGCCCAAGTGCTGAGACAGTTCACAACTATTGAAACGTTTGCACGGCTGGGCACCAGACTGTCGGGATCTCCAATCAACACAACCGCGTCAATGAAGTCCAGGTGGATTCCCCGAATCTCCTCCCAAGTAGAGTGGATGCAGGATGTGCGAAGTGCCAGACTCGCAGACGCCGCACTTGAATTTGCTTTCCTGAGCCGATGCCACGATCACCTGGCTTTGGCTCGGACCTCGCACACGTTGCCGACTTCCTGCGGCAAATCCAAGCGTGTCTTGCAGGTTGTGCACAGCAGACGAGCTCGTGTCCTTCGCTGGACCACAGCTCGGCCGCCGCCTCAACCGCTTCGGAAATGCTGATGACCTCAATCCTGCAATTCCACGTGTTTCATACTTGGTTTGATTTTGCAACTGTGATTAATGAATATTAATGAGGCACGAAGGGCAGTCACTTGCATTGCGGCTAAGGGCCTCCGTCTCTCGTGCTCCATGTCCTCCAAGCGAAACCGTAGCTGGCCTTGGCCCCGTGTGTCCGAGACTTTGGCTGCATCGGATCGAGTGAGTCAGAATAGTCAGAGCACGCTTCGAGACAGCCGAGAATCTGACTCAAGACCACGCTGCGCCCATACTCGCCTCTCTTCGGAGATGGTCGAGGATTCTCAGAACCAGTACGGGGCAACTGTAAGGCACTGTAAGGCCCTGTGCCACCAAGTTGCTAGTCGGAGCCCGACCTCTGTACCCGGTGGTGGCAAGAACCTGACTCCACCCCCGCAGCAAGCACGCACATCGGCAGGCAAATTTCCGAACATTCAAAAAGACCGAACCCTAAACCCTAAACGCTGCAGTCTGCAACCGTTGGTCCTGAAGCTGGTGGCAAAGTCAAATTTCAAAGTTCAATACTTTCTGATAGGTCAGCGATCTGCTGGGCGTTCGGTTACGTTGCTTCGCCCTCGCCTTCACCTGCCTCGAGACGAGGCTTGGCACCTGGCTCCGCACCAGGGTTCACACAAGGACTCCGGCGTCGTGCCGGTGTCCATGGAGTCATCACGGGCCATCACGCCTTGGACCGTCCTCATCCTCTCGTTCTTTGACTCGTACATGTCTTCCCTGGCCCGTGTTTGCTGTGCGGAGCTTCCTGAGCGCTCGCCCAGGGCCGTCTGGGGAAGCAGGGTTTGCCGTCGTCTGGGGGGCTTACCGTGCATGCTCCGAACTCTTTGGCTGTTGGTGTTAGACGCTTCACTACAGTGAAGGGCTGCAATTCGTAGCGGGAGTTCAGGCAAGCCCCCGCTCGCAGAGCCTCTTCTGCTGTGTCTCTTCACCAGCTACGTCTAGAAACAAGCTTTTTCTCGAACATGATCGATGGCCATGGCAAAAAAAACGACATGAGACCTTAGGCAGTAGCAAGGCTTCCTATCTTCAAATGTTGCTTTGGCTTACGTGCTATAGAACAAGCCTAAATGGTCACTTTTCAAAATGCTACTCATCCAACATCTGTCGCGGAATGCGTGTGCTTGGGGCGCCTCATGTCCAAGATAATGCATACCCACCGTATAGGAGATGAGAAAGTAAAATATTCGCATCTGAGACCCACATTTACCTGGGAAGCGCGCCAGCGCACCGCTTCACGACAGTATAACCTGAAGGTATTCTATAAGGCGTACAAGGGTTGACGTTGAATGTCAACAGTCATGCAGCCAAAGTTGGTATGAAATCTGGTCACCGACTGTCTGGAAAACCCAGGTCCGTGCAAATCTTTCTAGCGCCGTACTAGCGCCGTGCAAGCGCCAGCAACCCCCTGTTTTCCAGCCTGAACACCCACCAAAGCCATGTTTGTTGGCATGGTGCTTTCTAACCTCAAAATGCGCCAGCACTGCGCTTCGCTGAGCATTCTCAGCATGGCTGAAGCTACGCTGCGGTCGTTGCTTAAGCAGATCCTGGACGCCATGGTTCTGGTGCTGCGGTTCTTCCCATAGGTGGCCGCCCATGGCACAACGCTAGCTTGGGGATCTTGGGGCCAAATGCCTGCATGCATACCTTTGTCTCGGCCCAGGCATACCAACACTTCTAGGATTGATGCTAGCGGGCAGCTAGCGCTATGCTAGTGCCACAATGGGATAAACGGAGCTGTGCTTGGGCGGCCGCCCCATCACGAAGACGTAGAGTTGACATAGATCATGGTTCGCGTGCGTTTCACATGCTTTGTGAGAACTCACCAAATGTAGTCGTGACCCCACAAAAACCTTCCAGCTCTTTGGTAATTGTTCAAGAAACACTGGGACGCTAGGATACTGTAATAAGGCACTGGCCACTAGAACCCGCTCTGCTTCCAACTCGTAGATGGTCTTGGCAGCAACTGTCATGACCTGCAAGCTTACGCCGCTGAATGGGAACTGTCGCCGAGAAACTTCAGTCCATGCCTTGGGAAAGCGGAACGGTACGGGAACGCGCAGTCTGTGCCCTGAGCTTTGACGCAGCTTTCCCTGATCTCTCTGTACGCATGGATGTGCAAGAGGAAGAGAATTGATTTTCAAGTACAAAGGGGTGGACGCAACTTTGCGGGCCAGCTTGTTGTGCCATCTCCATACCTGAGGCTGAGACGCCGAGATGTGCTGCTTGTATTGCGCATTTGGGCATTCTCTGAGCATTGTCGAGCTCAAGGCTGTCCGCCCGATACCTGCTGTTCAACCTTCAAGGACGGCCGTGTGCTAACACTTGAAGCATCAACAGCGGCTCGGTGTCCTTCGGGGTTACGCTTCCAGGAACGCGGATCAGCGCCAAGTCAATGCCGGCGCCTGAGAGCGGGTGTGGCGCTTTAAGAGGATGATTAGGGCCGAGGGTCTGGCCAAGCTGTCAGAAGAAGCACACGCAAAGCAATAAGGAATGGAGGGGGCACAGCACAGAACATGCGTGAGGTCCAAGCTGTACTTCATGTTGCGAAAAGTCCTGCGGCTGAGGGTGGCCTTAGTTTCACGAGTCTATACGAGTCTCATCCCATTGGTCCGACGTTCATGCTGATTTAGTTTCACTTAAAACTCATGCAAGACTTCAGACAAAGCAGCGGAGTTTCTTGCTCTGCGTGGCAAACGCGGATGGCAACGGCATGCATTGGGCTCACTTAGCGTTTGAACACATTGTCAGCCCCTGCCCTTGTTTCATCACATTGATGTCCGTAGCTGAAGGCACACTGTGGCCTGAAACCAGGTACTCCGAAAGACTCTCTGGTCCACGACAGACTGCAGACCCACAGTCCGCATCAAGTCTGCTAGTTACCAAGCACGGGCCCCCATGAACTGAGATGTCCTTAAAAGGGGTTCGGCGCCAGGCCTTGGTCGGCTCGTGAAGCCGCTGTGAAGGGCCCCATCCCCCCCCAAAAAAAAATGAAAAGAGGCCCCCCCCCGCCATGGGATCCGATCTCTGAGAATCTCGGAGGCCTGGGGCCGCCCCTCCAGTGCAACTCTTCGAAGAACTCTGCTCTGCTCTGCTCAGCCCGCTCCTTCAGGTGAAATGCCTAATTCAACGTTACCAATAGACCGTCGATACGAATGCTAGACTCTCTTAGACAGTTGCGCGCACGGAATTCTACTGGAGTTGCGCTTTTTCTTTTTTCCACTAGAGTCGCATTCATCAGGAAGGCGCAAGAGCACCGGTGGCCAAGGGGCATCTCAAGCACACACACAAAGAGACCAACCCACACTTACCTTAGCAGCCATAGTGCTTACCATGCAACTTTCATCAATTTCTATTTGGACTCTCACTGGACTCTCAGTGGCCGTGGTCAATTCTTCTAGCTTCGAATGCAAAACATTATTGACATCTACGGCCGTGCACAACACTTTGAATGACTTTGAGGAGATGGATCATGTCAACAGTCATCAACAGTCTGTCATCTTCTGCCACAAGCCAGGATTTACCATAAGTACGCAGCGGTGGCGCCCACCAGCTGCCACTCATCGCGGCGACCCGCCTGCACCACCCCATCAATCAAGGGACGTTCTACAGTGCACGCGAATCCAAATCCGGCTTTGGTGGTCTGGAGTTCGATTTCCTTGAGAAGGGCAACTGCTGGAAGGACCTTCAGCCAAAAGCCAACACAAGCTGAAAGTCTCCGAAGGTGCTTCATGAGGCTTAATTTCACCTCGACCGAGCAAGCGGATGCCACTCCTTAGTCCTCCGCTCATTTTACTTTCTCTTTGAACTGTCGGTCATTTTTTGAGCCCACGGCCCGCCCCTCTCGTATCGCTTCCCGTCGCTGCATTCTGAGTGCTCGCTTGACAGCTCCGCAAAAAAAGGGCAGAACTAACGGCAGGAGTAATGGCAGCATGAGCGCAGAAATTACTGCACACAATGCTTAGTCCCAAGATCCGCACAGCTTCCATTTGTTCACGAGCTTGTCAGCCTCGTCCACCACCTCTGAATGGCGGCATTGCGGGCGGCAAGAGGCTTCTCAACAGGCCGGTCATCTTTTAGGGCCAGTGCCACCCAATCAAGTTGGCCCAGTGCACGTAGCCAAAGGGGTTGCGTCCTGGGCGTACACACATGTGTGGGAGAAGGCGAATACAGCCAGTAAGCGCATGGAAGCTTGAGTTTCCGGCCGCGGTTCGTCCAACAAATCTCGTATTTGGCGTGGCGTGGCCACAACCTGACAAAATAGTCTGAGGACAGAAGTGGACACACCATCTGATCAAGGTTTGTTGACAGTCCCTGTAGTGCGTTCAAGCGTCGATGTTGCTGGGCTCTCTGGTGTTGTCTGCATCACGCCGCAGGAGAGTGACCTCAGTGCCAAAGTTTAAGTTGGAAGAGCCAGCTGTAGTAAGGCTGAAATTGCGTGTGTTGCTGGTGCAGACTTGTGTGGCATTCCAGAATGAGCTGGCCCCACTTGCTCGTCGGCTTTGAGTTTTGACTGCAGGCCGGACAATACTGCTGCATTTATGATATACTCAGCAGCCTGTATCTTCAGCAAGCGCTGGGCTGCGGGCATTTTCAGCTTTACCAGGCCCTAGAAGGGCTCGGGCAAGTGCCTCACAGCATAGCGTATGAACGGTTCCTCAAAAGCTCGCCCCAGAGAAACAGGTGCCGTAGGGCGCGTGCTGCTGTCTGCAGTTGAAGGGCCTCAGCTCGATGTCGGTGCGCACGATGCAAGCAGGCGATCCAACTGCTGCCGACGGTCGAAGAGTCAAGACATATTGTGATGATTTATGACTTATGATTCATGATCACTTATGTGCACCTGCCTAAGGCCTAAGGCTCTCCGTCAACACCTCGAAGCCGAGCGGGGCTCCAAATCCATCGAGGTGCTGCAGTCGGTACCAAAATCAGGAAACGAAGGCCACGAACTGGTGTCCGTGCAGCCTGATTCATGGCAAGATCTTGTGCCGCGGAAAAAGCCCTGCCTCCGTGCATGCCAATGCATGCAAAGTGCCTCCTCGGAGAATCGCTGCAGCAGAGGCAGAAGGAAACACAGCGTCTTGCCAGTTCCAGTCGGGGCATGGAGGCAGCAAGACCTTCGAAGTGTCAGCTGACTAGCAATGACACCTTGCTGGGGGAGTGCAGGGACTGTGGCCATATGTAGCCCTCTCTGCAGTTTTCGGAGGCCGGTCCAAGAATTGGTTGTTACGCAGAAGAAGCCTGTCGTTCGGAAAGGGGCAACCAAAATACAGGAACAAATATATGAAGAAGAACAGCCCCCAGTAGGTTCAACACCGACAAACGCACTAAAGCAGTCAACCTTAAGACCCCAAGCCTGAAGCAACAGCTCCAGAGTGCATCTTGCAGTGCCCACACGCGCAGATTTCAGAATCCGGCTCACCATCATAGATCCGTGACATCGCCTCTTGCTGAATGGGTGATGGCTCGAACCTTGGCTCCGGTCAGAAGCAGGGGGAAGCAGAGGGAAGCAGAGGGAAGCAAGCTGCCATCTTGGTCACCAGCTCCCCACCCGCCATCTCAATCTGGGACTGAAGCCACCTGTGGGCAGGGTTTTTGGTCAGTTGTGAGTTGGCAATAGCACTGACAGGCACAGGCACGGATCTTGAAGCATGCTGGGACCACTCGGCCGCAGGTCCTGTGACCTTTACACCGCCCCAGTCCATCGATGCTGGCTTTCGGTGTTCGACATATCTGCCTCTCCTGGCTCCTGGGGTACTTTGGCTATCATGCACTTTGCTCTGGCTTCGATTGTGAGACTGCGAGATTGCGGATGTTGTCGGCCCCGCAACCTTCTCGCCCTTCTCGCCCTTCTCGCCTTCCTCTAGCATCTGGCCTGCGCCGCATCTCCGACTCCGGGAGGCGAAGGGACGAAGGACTAAGATGGGATGCTGCCACATGCTGCCGATGCTGCCAATATGCCACCGATGCCTTCGCTGCCCGTCTCTGGAACTTCTCTCCCTGCGCCGATGCATTGTGGCCTTAGCTTGATTTTTGCTTCTTTTCTTTTCGATGCATCCTTCTGCGTATGGCCTATGCCACACGCCTATCAGTTCTTGACGAGACTTCGAGAATCGAGGCCCAGACAGTGCCGGCAACAGCAGCTATGCCACATGTAAGGCATCGCGGGAGTCGGACGTGCAAGCCAGACAAGCCAGCAGCCTTGTCCAAGGTCCCCGAGGGTCCCCGAGCTTTCCGAGCGTCAACAGGCCAAAATTGCCCATAGATTTTTCAAATCTTGTCCATGTCTGTGGCATGCCGATAAACACAGGCAGGAAGACCAGCTGGCTGCCATCAGATGATCCTACAGCCTTGTGACAGCAGAAATTGTGCACAGCTTCCGTGAACAGGCTGCATGTTCCTTGATGATGTATGCCGTAGAAGTGGGCAGCTGCACGATGCTGAATGCACTGGTGTACAAACACTGTGAAGCCAGGGCTAAGGGCGGAACCAATAGAAGGGGTTGTCTAGCTATTCGCGGAGCGCGAGAGCCTGCATGTGAACACTCGGCAAGATGTTTGCACATGTTTGCACGTGTCTGCGGTGTACAGGTGATGCATTGCGACGCTTTATTGTCACCTTGTGACAAAGAAGAGGCAACAGGTCCATCTGGTAGTGCTGCTTCTAGGTGCCTGGGAGGATCCGTCTGTCATGGCATGCCGTGGCCTTCGCTAGAGTTGCTTCCACGAAATCCTAGAAGACTTTGCTTGGCCCTTATCAGCTTGGAACCACGCGCCATGGTATGCCAGCGCCAACTGCATGTGCAGTGCGCGCGTCTGGGGGTTGAGGCTTGCTTGGGCACCTTTCCTGGGTGCTATGTATGGGTTGGCATACATCGATATCTCGAAGATTCCTTCCTGTGTGGCAGCTCTCTGCCATGTGTTTTCCAGTTCGCTACTATGGCTAAACAAGGGTTGAGTGACCGCAAAGAAAGGGCCACATACTCTCTTGCTGTGGAGTGCTAAGCAGTGGCTTAACCGGTATCGGGGCAGTTGCGCTTTCACTTGAATGCTATGCAGATTGAAGCTTATGCAGTGCCATTTCGAATGAGTGTTGCAGTATGTCCCGCCGCTTGAACCACAGATTGCACAGCTCAACCGGCAGAGGCACTCTGAGAATGTAGATTCAGATTGACTCAGATTGACCACATGGATTCTGGGCATGGCGGCAGGAGCATGAACCCTTTTTCTTAAATGGTGCACTGGCCGTCCCCGATAACCCTGGTACAGGTCTTGGGGCTCCAGGAGAAGGTGGATTGCCCGACGCAGCTCCTGATGGAAAGGTGGGTTGGCACAGTGCGCGGGGAAAACATTCAAACAATATGACAACAAAAGCTAGGTTCTCTGTTGTTTGGCCGCTTGATTTTGTTATTTTTTGCTTTTGTTGCTCATTTCAGGGCTGTCAGGCGGCTCACATTGAGAGGAGGGAGAGGTTGGGCTTATATATGGAGGTCGGTGAGGATGGGTGTTGCAGCGGTGCGTGGGCAACAAGGAAACAACATGCAGCATCAGCTGCGCGGTTTCCTGATCCTTGTTCGGATTCTCAGTTTGAGAGACGCTTATCGGCGGCCGCCATTAAACTGCTTCGTAGGAAACAATGAGCTGGACCTTTCTCAGACTGGAACATTCCAAGCAGAACGCCTCCGCGTCCACCGGGTTGGGAACCTCGGCCAGAGCGCCCTCCGAGCCGGACTCATCACATGAGCCTCATCATCCTCTGGTCAGAAAGCTCGGACTCAAGAACTGCCATCTCGTCATGGTCAGCATCGTCCAGTGTGCCCTCGGAGTTAGACTGTCCGCATTTACTGGGTGAGGAACCTTGTGCTCATGAAGCTCGACCCCACCATACTGAGCCGGACTTATCGGCCCCTCATGCATCATCGGCGGATCCATCTTCGGATTTTTGACACATCCTCTCCGGCATCACCATCGACGGAGGCAGCCTCCTCAGCATTGTCTGCTTCATGCCTTCCTCCTTAGAGTCCTTTGAGCCATCTGCAGTGTCGTCCTCCGGGTCAAGAACGTTGGCCTCATGAAGCGCGATGACACCATCATCTTCCGAAGATGAGTGGCTCTTCCTCGCAAGATCGTCGCATTCAGCTACTTCATCCAACAAGGTGTCATCACCGACTTTGGACCAGTCGAAGCGCCACCATCTGGCGCGATAGTCACGAATTTTGAAACTTCATCCATTGGCATGATTGTGCGTCGATTTCGAGGAAAGCTGGAGTGCAACATACATCGAGCCAGAAACTGCCACATCAGCTTCAAGATATCACGGCGGGGGATCTGTTGGAGGCCCAACAATTCAATCATTTTGAGCTGCTGGTCACTGCATACGATGTGTCCGCCACCATGCGACCAGACGTGAGCTTTCCAAGTCCCAGTCCTTGTGCTGTCTGTAGAACAAGACGGCATCGAGCCAGGGTCATGTCGTAGTGCAGATTTGAGATGCGATTTGAGAACGCGTGAGATCTTGTGAGAGCTAGGCCGCTGGGCTATCGTTCGAGCCACCAGGACTGCCCTGATTGCAGAAGTCTCATCGATGATCGTGGTCACTGGCATAATAGTGTCCTCCCCAAGAGTCCACCCTTCCCTCGAACGAGGGTGCGAACTCTGCGCTGGCTCCAGCATCATGTGCATAATTACTGCCAAACAGCATCAAAAGCTCGACTGGCCGGGACGCAAATGTGTTTGCTTCCTTGTCTGCCTTTCGCGCGTGAAGTGTGCGCACTGCACGAGATGATCGCCACAGGAGCAAACAACCCTCCTGGCAAACGACGGAGGCTTCGCCCTGAGGCGGCTTCCGCTGCTGCAGGAATCTCTCCAGCGTCAAAGCGGGTGCGGGCCCTACACGATCGCCGCTACAATAGTCCTTTGAAGAGCTCGTCCCCAAAAAGCCAACTGAGCTGTTCAAGGTGTCGCCAAACCAAACCATGGCCACCACAATGCCATCCAAACAGTGCCAGGGAAGGCCGGGGCTCTTCTCCGAGTGCCTGTAACTCATTATGTCCAGAATCGGCAATGTGTCCAATGCTGGTATTCTCCCTTGTACCTCGTGGACCAAACGCATGCCAACAGCATGATGGAGACCATCGCGCAACTGGGCTTTGTGTATTTCCCCATTCTGCAGCGATTGATACCAAATAGTCGACTCGAGAAGCCACCTGTGAACCTGAAGTGCCGAGCTGTCGGTGACGCAGAAGTACGCAGATAATGCTGTCATGAACATACCCTGAGCAGTCGACCAAACGCCGAGCTGAAGGCAATAGTGCGCCATGGACTACGGCTACGCCTGGCAGGGAACACGATGCTCACCAATGCTCTCTTGTTGACAACACAGAAACAGAGCTTGACACTGGCTTCTGCTTGCAACTCAACTTGCCTGCCTCCATTGCGAACGTCCAACTCTGCACCTGCGGACAGAAGAGGCTGCGGACAGAAGAGGCTCTTGCGACAGAAAGCTGAGGCCCCTTTATTCAGTGGCACTCTCTGAAACCCTGAGCCTCAAAGCCTCAAAGCCTCCAAACCCTCAAATGCACCAAACTGTGCACCTTCCCAGTCAGCAGCCGCGTGCAGCAACTCGGGAATCGCACCGAGAGCTTCGTCAAGGTCCTAGCCAACTTGAAAAAGCGTGCAAAAACTTAGGAACGGCTCGGAGCTGCTGGAGCAAGTGGAAACCAGCGAAACAGAACCATCACGGCTAAACTGCTAAGACGAAAAATCTCTAGGTCCGGCAAATGCAATGCTCGGTTGAAGAATGGCCGCACCTGGCAGGGCAAATCGCCACTTCAAGGGGGAAAAATGCAAACACATCAATACCAACGCGAATCAGCCTCAGCAAATTGCCTCTCCACTTCCATGCGCACGGGCACTCCTTGCTGAAGCCTGGGAAGCTCTCAGAAGCTCTCGGAGTGTCTGGCAGACATCTACAGAATGTCGACATATGTGAACTATGTGGACATATGGAGATATGGATATGTTTTGACTTGGCGGGCAGCTCGGCGAAGAGCTCCAGCAGGCTTCGGAAGCCAGAAGCTGCCTAAAACCAGGCAACAGCTGGTGCCAAGGCAAAGGAATCTAAAGGCCCAGTCCTCTCTTTTCAAGTGCCTACAGTGCAGGTCCCTACGAAAAGTAGCAGGATGTAGCAGGGCACACTGCGCGCCTGGTGCAGCTCCTCCTGTTGGACACCTGTCACAAAATCAGAGGCTACCGAAGCAGGTCACTGTGGAACAGGATGGAACGGGCAGGCTTCGCCTAGTGAGATGATGTACTCAAGCTGCTCCGTGTCATGGGCCTAAGCTCGAAACTTCTGAGCCGCCTATCTGAGATTTCTAAAGTTTCCTGAGGTGCTGACCAGCTTCCCGAGGGAGAAGCCTGTATTGTCCGTCACAACACCGCCGTCCATGCCTGTGTCATTGCGTCACAGAGGGGATGAACTGAAACTGAAATCATCCGCCGATGATGGTCACCTCACATTGCTGAGCCCTTCGCTAGCGATCAACCGAGACGAATTCCCAAGGGATCTGCGCTGCTCGAAGACCCAGTCCTAAGATCCAGAGAAAGATCCCAGTGTGCGCGACTGGCATCAAGGAGTCACATTCCTGCGTGTGCTGCCCTTAATGACTAGCGACCACAAAGAAGACATCAGTAGCTTCAGCAAAAGTGTAGCGCGAAGAACGCTGCTTTAATGCCAAGCTCGTCATCGATAACTCAGGCCTTCGCGCACCTTCTTCCGTCTGATTGCGTTGTGGGTGGCTCGAAATGCAGCATCTTTGGCTGCTCGCTAAACGCTAAACAAGCGCAGCTTCTGGAGGTCTCTACAGAAACGCGTTGACTTGGGCTGCTCTCAGTCGCTTCCGACAGGCCTTCCGACAAGCCTTGCAAAGTGCCGGCCGAGCATGCTTCTGCCCATCTTATCATCTTGTCAAATATGGAGAACACAACTAGACACAGGATCGCAACACATCACACAGACACCGAGATATTTCGTGTGCCTGGGCAATGGCCCCTTTACATCACCTCGCCCTCGGTTCATGTCAGGCAGCCCTGTTGGTGTTCTTCCCTGGTACAAGGCGACCCATGGCAAGTGGGACCTCACTAGTTCGGCCGAAGGTTGGTCTCAGCGAACACCAGGGCGCGAGCCACGGCAAGGAGAAGGGCAAGAAAAGGCAATACCGGACGAGGCCAAGGGCAAAGGCAAGGGAAAGACAGGAGCGCAGTTCCCGAGATGGAACTCTTCCGGAGGTGGAGAATGTACAATCTCCGGCATTCTTCTTCTTCTTCTGCGAGAAGGTATCCTCTGCCCTCGCGGACAAGCCTCTTGACTGAGAGGGAATGCCCGTCTTGCCTGCAGCTTGACAGCCTTCATACTTAATTGAATGATTGTGAAGCTTTTCGTGTCAAAAGCCATTGATAGTATGCATGTATATATATATATATATATACATATGTATATGTGCTTTTTTACACTCCATCGAGTTTAGAGCCTGAGCTACCAGAAAGGGCAAACCGAATGTCTTACGGCCATGCATCATACTTGGATTTTTGAATTTGTGCCTGGTTGGGGGTTCGCGATCTGCTGCAGGTGCATGACAGTCCAATCCTAATGCATGTTGCCCACTGCTGATGATTGCAAAGGAAAAGCGCAGCGCTGTCTTTGTGCCTCATGAGTCTCCAAAGCTTTTGCTAGTTTTGTTGTTTCGTTGAGTTTGCAGTCAAGTATAGCCAAGTGGATTCCCATCGAATCGCAAACAGCATCGATCAACAGAGTCTTCCCTACCAGCCTGCAAAAGGGCAGGAGCACAAGTCCCACTATCGTAGTGAGTTGTCATCCAAAAACAATCGGAAACAGCATCGTTTGAGTTTGCAAAGGTCTCGTGTCGCAGTTGCAGCAAAGACATGGTGACAAGATCGAAATAATCATGTGTCCATGCCAACGCCCTTTCTGCCATCCGGTTGCCTGACTTCTTGGCACCAGTGGTGCGAGGCTCTGCATTGACTTTAGTTGCGCCTGAACATCCTGATGGCACGAAACTGCGAAACTTGGTAGAAAGAGGTTCGGGACAAAAGGTGTGAACATGCATGTGAGAAGCGGCAGTCCCGCCTTTGCTGTCTCTGCCTTCTTGATGGTTTGCAGTTGATTGGTAGCACTCTTCAGACGATTTACTCTTTGTTGCTCCTGGGGCACATGGGCACAGCATGGGCTCAGCGTCCAATTTGACACAAGCAATTTGCAAACAAACTGGTAACAAAGAAATCAACCTCCTGAGACAGAATGAGACTCAAAGAGACGCTGAGCATGGGTTTGGATTATGGCTTCGATCTTCTTAATGTTGCCGTGCGGCTTCGATTCTTTTCAGGCGGCTCCGGGAAGCCAGGAAGTATCCTCCGCAAGGCGCCAGCTGGCAGTGAATCAAGGATGCGGTTTTTCTGCCGTCATGTTGTGTGTTCTGATGCGCTTCGCAATGTTGGCTGTGTTGCGGTGTTGTACACATCTTGCCTTGATCTCGACCGAAAGCTTCCAGGGGTCCATCAGCGAGAGGAACAGCTGCACCATTTGTCTCTGGAGCTGGCAGATCATGCTCCCTGTGGCATTGCCAGTGCCAGGCCGAGTCGCCATGCAAAAGCACAACATACAACCAACGCCCAACATGATCAAACTGCAGCTTGTTGGCTCTGACATGGTGCCTGGCTGCATACTTTTTGATACCGACGAAGGAGTGAGTGTGAGGGAAGTCAATGGTGGTGACCATTGGTCCCTTGCAGAACTCGGCTCTGTATGGAATACCTGGCCAGCATACTGTCACATGCCTGCAGAAAATCTTTAAAACATCAATGATCGCCGCAGCATGGGCAGATTGCACTTCTGCCTTTGTCGAAATCTTCGTTGTTCGGCCAGTCTGGGCCAACCTTGAGATCTCCGTCAGTTTCGTTATGGAGCAGGTCTTCATGTTCATGCAGACAAGCGATGTGATCATAGGCGGCAGCCATGATGGAAAAGTGTGTGCACTCCTCCATGTCATCGCACATTTGGGCAGCCTGAACACATTGCCACACTTCCTGACTCGGCAGAGGCCACGAAGAGATACCAAAAGCTGACCTCCTCGACTGAGTGTACCCCGCGCTCGCGCTTGATGAGACGCAGTCGTGGTCCAACCAGCTCTCCCTGCCCCCAGCCTCAGGTATCGCACAGATTGTGTTGTGGTGCATGATGTGCACAAAAGTGACACAATGTAAAGACTCACAGCGCACACGCTTTGACTTGCTTACTCTCATTTCTACTTGCGGTCCTGGCCGCAAACCGCGCGGACTCCTGGCCTTAGCTAGCACTGGGTGAGGCCCGCACAGAGATGTTGGTGGCTCAACGGCATACTTTCTACAAGTAAACTGAGGCTGGGAGAGGTTGCATCGATTGCTTGAGGCAGTGGCCCCTTGATTTTGTAGCTTGGAAGGCGTCTTCTGAGCTCTTCCACATCATCGGGGGCCCTCGGTTTGCTGCCAAAATGCACGAAGGAGCTCACGGCGTGCTCTGAAATGCGAAGGCTGCGAGAGAACTGCGAGAGAACTGCGAGAGAACTGCGAGGGAGTGGCCAGATTTCTTTGTCCTCCTTCTGGACCCCGAAAGGCCAGCCTGGAGGACCTGCTGGATTGCCCTGGGCATCAAACTCTTGCATCGCCTCTTTCGCCGCAATCAGCTTGGCCTGCTGGCAGTCTTACATTTCATGACCGATGATGGTATCAGCTCAAGCTACAACAATATGCTGCTCTACTGCGTGCTTTCAGAATAAGTCTAACACAAAGGTTTGGCAAACTCACCTTGACAACCCAAGGTGAGTTTCATCCAATTTTGCACCCAAACTCAAGCATCAACTCTCGGTAGCTAGACCTCAAAACGCCTCCGCTTCCGCTGCTTCCTCCTCTTGCTGTGCATCTGTCTTGTAGGGTTCCGGTCCTGTGCAACCTCGCTGTTTCATCCATGTCATTGTGCGGCACGCACTCAATGTTGCAATCAGCAACTTCTATTTGTCCATGATGTCTTGCCAGGCAACCATGGCCCAAAGCACACCTGACCTTATCCAAGGTTGGAAAGTCCCATGGAGGAGAGAAGTTGTGTGCAGCCAGAACCGCTCCGGCGATGTCCCGGTCGTGTTCCCAGGAGTGCGTAGGCATCCGGGGTCAGTCGCCAACAGCAGCTCGTACTCTGCGGTTGGATTGTATGTCCATGGCAGCGAGGGTATGCAGTATATCGCAGTATCACGCACATTCCGAGTTATGGCTGTGAGATGGGTTTACGGCAATGAACATCAGCAGCTGTGCGCTGCATGGTCATGATTCTATCTAACGAGCAAGGCCTGATGCCTCACACTTGTGTCGCTCTTGAACCGTCGGAGAACTCACAGATTTCCAAGAACCCTTCACTCGGACAACAGAATGATGAAAATGTCTCGTGCAAGCTGAACCCTCAGATGCTGACTAGCCATGTGTGCAGCTGCTTCCACTTGAAGCGTCTCAGAAGATAGGAGCCTCATGAAGCACATCATAGCATGCCCAGTAAACAGGAGACCCTGACTTTTGGTTGCATCATGCACTCCGGGCCCCGTGCATCCTCAAAAAACCCTCATGCATTCATGTTCTGCTAAGTGGCTGAACTGAAGATTGCCTTGCAGGAATGCCGCTGCAGGCTTGAGACACTGCCATGCGCCACTGGCAAACAAACTCAGCAAGCCGATGCGATGCTGACAGAACTGAACTCTGCCCGCTCGTTTTGTTCTACTTCATATCTAAGACAGGATCAGGCAGGTAAAAATAGAATGTCAGATTCTCATTCTTCGAAGCTTGACCATTGTGAACCATCTTGACCCGTCACGGTTCCCAATGCAGCCAGCTCACACTCCCGCAGCGATGTCTCCTGAAAGGCATCGCCCCTGCGGAGCAAGCGATCCAGACCTTGGCTCGAAACAGTTCGGCTCAAGCCGAATAAGTTGACTTCACCGTCGATCCGACGAAAGAAGGCCGGGAGGCTGCAGGTCTGGAAACTTTGCTGCACTGTGCGCTTGTTCGCGGCGAATTCGATGAGCGCTTGCGAGGTATAAGTGTTGCTGTCCTGGACACAAGCAGCACACAAAAAAACAAAAACAAACTGCTCACCGCAGTTTCCGTCCTCGGCTCCAGTTGGTCCTGACCAACCTGCACATCTCGAAATGCTTCCAACTCATGCAGACCAAGCCAGCTTGCTACAGCTCATTGGTTCAAGTATTTCCCACTGCCGCCAGGAAGCTGCTGTTGGTTTCGCAATAGAAGACTCCAGGATCTGTCACCGGAAAGATGGATGTACTTCCAGCATGGCGGCAGCAGTTTTCACTGCCAGTCTCCAGGCTGCGACTGAATCTTTCACACACAGAGACGCCACAGTTGCATGGCAAATCCCATCTTACTCCTGTGAAGTACTGCAGCTTCTCGCCCCAGCCCCAAAACGGCCAGCAGCAACAGATTCCCACTGGCCCACATCCTCGAACAAAGCTCTGCGCTTCGCACATCGCCTCTTTGCCAAACTCTTCCACGTATGGTTCATCAAGGCATGCCATAGCTCCAATAAGCGGTTCTTGGTATGCACAGCTGAAGACGTGTTCAGCATTCATTCGGAGTCCAAATCGTCCACTACGCAGTCCGTCGCGTAGCAAGATCACGTCCTCGACCTCCAGAACCCGTGCAGAAAGACTTCCAAATGCGGCCCTCCGCTCTGCATGCGCTGCGAGGATCTCTTCCCGCAGTCGGCCAGTCTGGGTCTCGAGCTCCATGTTCAGCTGCATCACGGGCAAGTCCAGAAAACGGGGCTCTCGACTGATGCCCGCCTCGACAGCATAGGGCCTTGGCACAACAGAGCACTTTCAAGGAAGGTACAAGGCAGTTCGTTCATTCTCTTGATGGAATCCACGTTCTCTTGATTTCCCTTGCAGGAGTGCTGAGCAGGATGAACTCAAAGCAAGTGACTTCACACGGGAGTACACCTCGTAGAGACCATTTGCATGGGCAAAGTAATCGTATGTGCAGCCTGGCTCGTCCACCATCGTTTCGCTCAAGTTGTAAATCTTGTAGGCAGGGCTGTTGGCACAGTTCATGGTGTCCGGCAGCACGACGCGTCGACGCAAGTATGCCCCAACCTCCAGAGCAGCAATCAACACCTCGAAATCTGCGGACAAGTTCAGACCCCTCGGATGATGGTATACAAGGAAGGAGGTGGAGTCATTGAACCTGTCCTCCCAGTCGTCAATGTACCACAAATTTCTGTCACCTCTGGCTGCTTCTTAGGCTTTTTTTGCAATACTGCAATACCATGAAGACAGACTCGGCCATATTTATAGCTTGCATCAGTTTTTACATCGTGTAGCGCCGACCAACTACTGCCCAAGGCACGAAGAAAATACATCTTGGGGTCGACGCCATTGACGTGAACAACGGCCGGAGGCTGCTGGCGTCCGGCACAACTCTTCAACTTGTATGCCTATAAGGGGGTTCGCCGTGGCAGAAAGAATGCCGCATTTAATGCCATGCCCCTTGCATCTGACTTGTGCAAGCGAATGATCGGCTGCCACGGGTGATGCGCACTGTGCTCTTCTTTCCTGTCTTGAATGCTTTCCAGAGATTCTTTGCCTGCCCTGGCCTTGCGCCAGAAGTAGTTCATGCCATGCGAAATACACACCTTGGCAGAACAACTGTCTTTGGATCCATGGAGAAACTCGGAGAAACGGACCTGACATTGTCAACTTCCAAGGGGCAGGATCCAGAATGCGCAGCGTAATGCTCTCTCCAGACCCGATCGGCAAGTCCCATGTCTCTCTTGGGGTGAAGCGATCCGTCTTGCCTTGCCAGTCCAAGGCTGGAAAGGTGATGTTCTCATAGCGGGTTATGACCTGCCACCAACGCATGGCTTGCCACGTACATGCTTTTGGTTTCTAGAAGCCAAGAATGAAGTCCGAATAGGTACATGTCGAACACGCAAACCCTCTTTAACAACTCGGGAGTGGCCTCAGGCGGTCTTTTCTCCATCTTTTGCATGACGAACTTGTTGAACACCCGCTGGTCCATTCCGTCGCGGAGTGTGGGGCCCTCGTGTCCATGATAGTGCGCGTCCACAAACTCCACCAGAAAAGCCTTGCACGGTACAACAAATCAGACTCGCGCTTCACGCTTCTGCGCATCAACACATGACATTGACTTTATTTGCGCTACTTTGTGCTCAAGCCCTACCACGAAGCCAGCAGTCGAGGAGAAGGCCGCGCAAAAAGAAACCCAGTGTTGATGTGCTCTGCGGGTCGTAGCCATGTGGCCCAAAGCTGCTCTGCAGGAAAGAAATGATCCGTCATGGCCTCTACATCTGAATCGAAGTAGAAGTGGTGGAATGGGTTGGAGAGAAAAACGATATCGGAATCTACCACAAGAACCTCGAGGCCCAATGCGATGCAGGTGGTCTGTATCAACCATCGCATTTTCCAAATATCATCTTGCAGATCATGAGAGCCTTCGTTCAACACTACGTTGAAGCCTGAGTCTTGTGCACGTCGGACGGCATCCGAATCTAGTGCGATGAAAACAAAGCTGTGCTCTAGCTCCGGGGTGTTCTTTCGAATAGAGAGCGCCAGGTTGTGAGCAATCGACCATCGCTTTGGCCCACCAGTTGTCCAAGATACTATCAAGCGCCGTTCTGAGCCAGCAATTTGAAGCAGCTTGGCCGTGTCCAAGTCTAAGGTGTACCGTCTTGGCGGCTCCTCATCTAAACTGCTGTCGAAGTAACTTGGCCGCGGTATGTCCAACCTCGTCGCCGAAGCTGCCAGGTCCAACCTCGTCGCCGAAGCTGCCGGGTAAGAGTTGTTATTGCGCCCACCGACCTCACCGACCTCACCAACCTCGGCTTGCAATCCTGTCCAGATGTTTACAACCCATGTGGACAAGAGGTCCTGACGGCTCAACCCCTCCAAGTCAGACATAACATTGAGTCGGATGAAGCTCTTGTTGGGAATGTGGAACGCCACTGGGTCGATGGCATAGGCTGTCCCGAAGAGAAACGCCGATGCACAGTGCACCATGGCGGCCCCAGTTTCAGCTTTCCATGCAGAACTGATCAGAACTGATCAGGACAGCACCGCGAACTGGTCTTGCAGTGAGCAGGGCTCAATGCTCGGCCATGGCAAAGCATAGCTGAATACAAAGGTCACGGTCCGTAAGGTGTACTCGCATGCTGCCATCGCTTCTTGCTCTCATCAAGATTGTTACGATTGTTACGCTGCGAGGTTATCATTAGCCAATCTCATCATTACCACTGTTGTTGTGAATGCCGATTTTCGTCGGTCCTGAGCCGGACAACCCGAAGGCGGGACTTGCTTAAGCGTGGATCCCGATGTTGGGCCTTTTGGTGCGAAAGGGTACCAGTTGCATTTCGCAGAATTTCGGCAGCCTATGCAGCCTCAGGTTGTGATTTGCCGCCAACTTCCATGGCGCGGCTGAGAGTTGAGTTGCAAAAAATCTACAAGGACCCTAGAAAGGGCCCTGAACCCTGAACCCCTTGCTCAATTTCAATCGGTTCATGGAGATTCGATTTGGCAACGTGTGTAGCCTCACAGGGCCTCCATACTGTCTCGATGAAGCTTCGGCTCTACCAAACAGGGACTCAACAACCGTTCGTTGCTCGACGTGCAAGTCTCTGACTCAGCTCTTCTCGAATAGTCCCTCAACCATCCTCAAGACCTTCAATCGTCAGCTCTCCTTCATGGGGCAACTCTTAGAAGATTGCAGCGCTGCGGACATAGATTTGTTTCCGTGCACGTCTGTGACACGAAAGTTTTGCACTCGATGCCAGGCATTCGCGATTGGAAGGCTGGCTGGTTGAGCGCTGAGCTACTGTCTGAAGGCATTGCACGTTGACCCGGTGGAGAGCAACCAGTGACCCCTCCCCCAGCAATAGACGATAATTGGATAGCAAGAGTAGAAGTCTTGGCTCAAACCTCCGGTGAAATGGAATGGCGAATTCATGTCATGAGTGTGCGCCTTGGTGTGCTACTTTCCTTGGTCAAACGAGCGCTGGCTTCTGTCCGTCTTCTGCCGTATTGAAGAAGTCTCCATGCCTGCTTGCAACCCTTGAGAATGCGCGATGAGTGCACTCTTAGCCTGCAAGCTATCTCTGAAGCCTGATGTGCTACATTGACTTTTGCCCAAGATGCGGCCCTTCTTCTTGCCACCCTTCGGGGGCAAGGCGCCAGCACTCTTCAGGAGGTCAGCCTAAGAGAAAATTACCAGAAAGCGATGAGTGTGTGCACACACACACACACACGCACCTTTAAGGGAGCTACGACCTCTCTGAAGCCATTCTTCTCGGAAACAGATAATGGGCTTTCGCCCTTGGCATTTGCCTTGCAGGAATCTGCAGAAGCCCACACATGTGGGCAAGCAAGGAGCCTGGTTACGGCCTGGTTCACGTCTGCATTGCCCACAATCAGTGCTTTAGCCACGACTGGAAGATCATTCACCGCAGCCATGAGCATAGATGTTTGGCCTTTCCTTGGCGAGAGACAGGCTCGCTTGTAAGCGTTGGTGGTGTTTGTTGGTGTTGAGACCGCTGTTGAATACTTTCTAGGTTTGAGGGCAGCACATCGTGGCCATGTTGACCTGGGCTTTGGCGTCCAGCAGCTGTTTCACCGCATGAGGACGATCCTGGGACCGAAAATGCCAAACATGGCAGTTCAAATCACAGTATACTACGATTGCCTTGGTGCAGGCAACTTCAGCTGAGAATCGCACGTATGCACATACGATAATCAAAGGGCTGAAGCCATCGAGTGACTGTGCCTGACTTGAGGGCATTGCCGAGCTGGTTGCAAAATACTAATTCGCTTAATCATAATGGTTTACCCACGTCGCTTGCACTGCACGGACTTGTGCTACTGCTACTACGAGTAGTACTCCCTGAGACCAGCACATTTGCATCAGCCTTGTGCAGCAGCAGCAACTCCAACCTCGCTGAGTGACTTCGTGCATCCCTGACTTTATACCTCATTGTCACGTCTGCACATGCTCAGACTTGCACGTGGACTTCCTGCCAATCGTTCCTTCAATGTGAACCTCCGCAAGCGCTGGGTTCATGTCAGTACTCGTTGAAAGTCAAAGTCGTCAGTGCACGGACCTTTCGGTCGCTGAGCTCTGGCCTCACACCTCCAGGGCTATGGGCATCGCCCAACTGTTTGCTTAGACTGCTTAGGCTTTGACCTAAGGCAAACCTCCATCGTCATGAACTGACCTGAGACCCTGGCTGTCCGTTGCAGGAGACGGAGCATTCACTGCATACCTGGAATTGGCCCCCAGAGGCACACACAGCGATGCCACATGCCATCATGCCACAATGCTCAGAATTCTGGTCGGGAAGCATTAGTGGAGTCCAGCCCTCGTTGTCAGCCACGTTTACCATGGACTTCCTTCAGGCTTGCGGTATGGTGGCAGAAGTCCCGTGGCCGGAACTGCGCCACATGACACAGAAACAGAGTTGAGTCCGAGAGAGGAGATGTGCCACAACTTCCACTTCACACCTGGCCGATCGAATCTCTTAGGTTCGAACGTGGGCCGGGGCCCGTGCGCCCGACTCATGCTTTGACTTTGGCCAAAGCGGCTGATGCGCTGCTGCATGGAGAGGGGTGCTTCCGTCGGAGTTCGTCTGGTCGAGCCGCGCCTCAGCTCAAGAAACATGCTTCGACCTTGAGTATCCAAGACAACCTACAGCTTGTCTTTCGCCTGCTTCGCCAGCAGCTCTTCCACCACTTCCATATGCCCACGCTCAGCAGCCAGCGACAACCTGGGCTCAGTGCACGAAACGCAAATGTTCCAACCAGTGAAAACAAAAATATAATTTATATGTGTATATATATATATAACACATATGTATGCAATACATATGTATATATATATATATGTATTATCTTTCTATCTATCAACCAAAGGACAGCTAGTGCCCTGCTCCGCCTGGCGACACGCGTTGAAAGGGCCCCAAAGCTGAGGACAAAGCGGCGTCTTGCCGCTGGAGCTGGCGGCCTCGTCAATGCTGGCCCGAGCCTGACAGTGCTCTCAGCTTTTGCCGGGCCACTTTCCAAGCGCGCGCTTACTGTTTGTCAACCGCCATATTTCTTCGGCAGTCTACAAGTTGAGGCCTGAAGCAATATCTTGACAATTTGCAGGTGACCTTTGATGCATGCCTCGTTTCCAGCGCACAGCTGCATCTGACAAGCCACTTCAGATTCCATTCACATCATTTCTGGCAGTCCCCGGCCCAAGTCAAAGCATGATATCCGTCGCCTGTTTCACAAGAGCACTCGCAAACGGCACACGAGGCGCAGAGTCACGGCGCTATGCTAGCTGGCAGACAAAACTAAAGCTGTTCTCACACTCCACACGGGCGCAGCAAGTCACTGAGGCCAATGGCCATCTTTGGCAAAACAATCGGCCTGAGCAGCTGGCAAAGGTGCACTTAAGACCGCAGCCTCAAAAGCCGAAAGCAAGAGGTCCGGGCCCTGTGACGCAGCAGCCAGGAGACAGTGCTCGGCATGTTTCGCGTGGTTGCCTCGACTCAGCCCACTAAAGCCTTCTGCGAATTCTGGCAGAGAACTAAGGCTCCCGCAATGTGCAACGCCGTGGCGCCCGTCTCATCCTTACGCACTGAGAGGGGCGAAATCCGAGGCATTAACTCAAGAGCAACAAAAAGACGCACACACAAAGGAAGGAGAGACAGCGCACAAACGATGCGAGAGGGAGATCACTCTCGCCTTTCACACTTTTGGGCCATGCAAGGGGACATCCCACGACTTCAGTTCAACCCAGCAGCCCCCCAGCCGCGCATCCACAAAATAGTATAAAATAGTGTAGCTCTGCACAGCTTCAGCGCTTTTGTGCATGCGGCAAGCAAGTGTGCATGCAGCAACACGTTTATTCAAAGCAGCTATAAGGCTTAATTGCATACGAGAGCGTTCATGCGAACGAGCGACGGCTCGAGCTCATGTGGCATACATGTGTAAACTAGCCCTTTCTGCTGCAAACCACAAGCCTGGTGAAAACCCCGCTTCCTGGGCCTCTAAGACAGAAACGCGGCAGGACAATCAGACACTCCAACGACTATCCAATGCCCTCAGTTTGGGCTCCGAGCTCTGGCCTCGAGATTTGCCTGACTCAAGTCATCTCATATCATGTGAAGTGTGAAGATCACGTGTTGCGCCGCCCCGCCTTCTGCTTGATCAAGTGCTCCAAGGTCACCTCTGCATCGACCGGCTACAGCATCAAATTTGGAGGGCACTGGGTTGCAGTGAGCTGCCGTTTGAAAAGGAGCTAAAGTTTAAAAGCATTGAGGTGACGGTGTTTGAGGAACAAGCTGCCTTTTCTAGAAGCATGCAGTAGGCCAGCATGCCAATCAGATGGCGCCAGAGAAGCAGAACCCGAGCTTGCTGCCTGATCTTCCATGTAAACGGCCTGCCCGGCAAGGCACCGCTGTCCGCCCCTGCTGCTTGTGGCAGCTGTCACATCACAGTCTCTTCGTCCCAACCTGCAACAGCATCTGCCCCATGCGCTCCACCTGCCAAAAAAGCACGCCGAAAATATCTGCTCCGCCAGCTACAAGGATTGCACTCACCAAGGCGGGCACAGATGGATTCCATCGGAATTGCTCTCCCATTCTCTCCTCCAAGTTTGCTTTAAGCATCCTATTTCCAGCGATAATGGATCGCAGTGCCTGAGCATCAGGACACCATGGCCGGCCGAAGCAGTACGCAAGTGTTTATCTGTGTTAGCCAATACTTGGCTGCTGAATGTTCCCTTGCGAGATGCAGGAACCAGGCTTTAACATCCCAAGGTGCAAGGCTTACGGAATGCTTTTTGGTAAGCTGCTAAGTCATGATACCGCTGGCAGTAAAGCGAGATTTCGAAGGTTGGGCTGTCGAGGGTGGAAGAGCATCAACTGGTCTGCTTCAGCTCTGGGGGCATGTCTTGAAAACAACAGCTGCATCCACAACGTCACCAGCAATCGCCAGGATCCGGTCATCAATGAAGATGTGCACAGCCCGGAAACCTCTCAATCATTTTTGCGCCGCTCATGGCAGCAGGACGACATCATGCTCTCCGAAGCTGCGATTGAAGTCGACGCCTGGCGAGCAGCCAACGGCCAAAGCTCCGGCTTAAAGGAAACACCGCCCGAACATCGCGGGTGTTCTTCTGAAGTTCTCTTTTGATCGTCCGCTTGCGCTCCACTGAGCTACGAAAAAGGAAGTCCCACTCTCGAAAGGGCGAAATCTGGCGAGATGAAGCACAGCACTGACAATCTATTCTAGCTCCTCCTGTCTGTGAACAGAAACGAATGGTCCATCCGGCAAGCTGCTGAGCCGAAACGTGAACTGAACTTCAATGTCCCCCCGCAAGATGTCACACAACTACAGAGTAGTTTCCATGCGTTGATTTCATTTCAAGTTAACTACTGGCACCAACAAACTCGATGAAGTTTCCCGAAAAAATCAACAACATTCCGACATCCGCTGCTATGGAAGTAGGGCTTCGGGTTTAAAGCTGGGGCTTGAACCTTAGTTCTACTTAGTATTGGGTTCTCCCCAGAACACTAGCAGGTCATCAAACATCGCACAAGAGTGCCAACAAATGTCAGCAAATACATAACATGCGAAATTGCAACCAAAGTTAAGCAACATCAAATTGAATGTTTTAGTATGTTTGGGTATGCTTTTGGCAGCCAAGAAACAGCATCGCCCAAAGTAAGCATGTTTTCCCATGAGAGAACTGAATGCGAAACGAGTCGACCGACGAAACGAGTCGACCGAACCTAAAACGGAACGCGCCCGAAACCCAGCTACTCATCCACAACCACGGCTTCCCGAAACAGCTCTGCGGGCCAGAGTGCTTTACATTGCTTCACCACGCTTGCGAAATTCAACCTGTTAGCAAACATACTGGGAAAAAGCGGAAGCCCTCCAGGAATAGCAGCCTCCCTTTCGCTGCCGGTCAAAGCCCTGTGAATAGACAGCTCGTATCGCGTTGAGACCTCCAATATCTGTTGATCTGCGTGATATAGAAGCCAAGAGCATGCTTCAAGTAGGTGGGGTTTTGAGTCTGTTCTGAGGGGGATTGTGCTGTCAATTAGCAAGGCCCGGTGGCGGGCGAATGGCTACCTGTATCGTCAATCTTTGCTGGCAGTGTTGGCAAATACATGTTAGGTGTGTCGATTCCAGGAATCTGAGACGACAAGCTCGCCCGCTCATCCGGAGCAATACAGGCCAGTGATGGAGAACTGGGTGTTTATGCACACATGTAAGAAGTCAGGTTGTAGTCCAGCCGGTGGTAGTACCGCTACCATCCAGGAGCCACCAAATTGAAGTTTTGCGCGGATGCTCAATTGGACCTCGCGGTGCGCAGAGCTGACGGAGCTGTCCACAACTGCGGGTGATTGTATTGCACGCAGAGGCGTGAAAGCCCCTTTTACGACGAAAAGCCGCCCACACCTCGTGGGTAGTGATGCGACCTTGAGGGGGGGAGGGGCTTGAGTCCGACAGGTTGCCCTTCTGCGATCCAATGTCCATATGGCCCAGCGCGAGTTCGGGAAAGGAAGCTGTACAAGCAGGGGTAGTGCCAACGCTACGCACGAGTCCGAAAAGCAAACTAGCAAACATACAATGCAGCCCCCCGGTTACTTTGCGCATCGCGCTAAGCAAGACATACTGCGTGGCGGAGAAAGCAGTGGGTGGAGTATCAAGGAGATAGCCTCTTGCACCCTGCCCGAGGTTGAATGAGTAGATAAGACATACCTCAATGGGACCTCTACAGTGTCGGTATCAGTTGAGACACTTTCCGAACCCTGCGATAGAAGTCGCGACCATGCTATAATGTGCTTTGCAGGCAACGTTCTGGTAGTCTTCAGCGATCTTCAGCGGCAATCATCGCACGGCTGAAAAAAACTACAATCCGGTGATGATGATGATGATGATGATGATGATGATGATGATGATGATGATGATGATGCCGTGCTGGTGTCTTCATGCCATGGCCGCACGAGTACAAAACTCACACAGTGTTTTGTTTTTAGTGATTTTGTGCCGACACCTGGCGCACACACTTGCACTGTTCTCGATTCTCTCGGGTGGGGTGCGTTTGTTTGACACGGGGGCATCCATCTGGACGGATGCTCGAAGAGCAACCCTGTCACCCTAAGCGTTTCGCATGAAAGCAAGTCCAGCGGCACCTCTGAAGGTGTAGCAGATGTGAAGGATTGGGTCTGTGCCTTCCTGCCAAAGCAAGAGCGACACGTGCAATTTCAAATTCGGATTGCTGGCGACCCAAGCGGGTGCCTCCTGGCATGGCCCGAAGCCCAGCAGCGTCGACTTTGGCGCGCTCTCAGCCAGGTTGAACATGTTGAACGACGTCAAAACATGTCGAAATAAACCAACCTTTGCTCGACCTTGCTCAGAACTGAGACAGCGGCACTGATTTGAAGATGGGAATGGCGCACTTTGGCCATGAGGCAGTTCGTCACATCCTTGGACGGCTTTGTCTTTCCATGTCTCCAAGTCGGCTCTAAACAGTGCCTTGGCATCCACTGAGGCACAGTCAATCACACCCTTGGCCTGTGAAAGTTCATGGTTTGCCCTGAGTCACCACTAGCAATGCGATGTAGGCGACTGCGGAGAAATGGCAAAAAGCAAAAGATTTTGCTTCAACACAATCCGAGAGTGCAAAGCGGTAAAGCCTTGGGGCTAAGCAGGCCGTTCCGCACCGCTTGACTGGAGCCGTAGTGCGCGGACAAGATGACCAAGCCGTTTGCCTCCTGCAACCATCTGCAAGTCTTCATTTAAGCCGCCTGATTACTGCTCCACTTGACCATCTGCAGAAGTCTCAATATGCCTCCTCCTCCTTCCGTCGACGAGCGGCTTCGCCAGCCAAAAATGCCCGTTGACGACAGGCCTCTGCCTGTAACAGGGGACACTTCGACGCTCATGCTTCCCGAGGCTGCATGGGCTTCGCGAAAGGCAATGTCGGTGTCCTGCTGAGCATCCTCCTCTGGGACTGTCGGCGCATCCTTCTTCGGTGATGTGCAAACCTCGCCCACTAGTGTTCCAACATGTACGAATAATTGCGAATATGTTCCAGTGGTGTAGGCCCTGAATGACACAAGGAGCACAGAGGAGCCTTGGAAACTTGCTTGGTGATCAAGGTAACGCAGGTGTGCAGCAGACGCAGCACAAGCGGAGGAGCCTGCTCAGACAAGTGGTCATACTATGTGCTTCGACGAGCCAAGCTTGCCGATACTGAGCATAATTAGCACAGAACGGCAGAACACAGCAAAACATGGCAGAACATGAGCATTCTTTCAAAACCGGGGCCGCAACGGCCCAAAGCAACATTGCCAGCCCAAGCTCAGCAGCTGGAACTGGCCCAGATGCCTCGATGCATAGAGCAGGAAATTAAGAAAGTCAATGAGCATATGACGAGATGAGGAACGGGACCGCAATGGAACCAAGCTCTGCGACTTCCAAGGCTAGCCTCAGACCACAGCTCCAGCGGCAGCACAAAGCGCAAGCCACACCTGTGCGAAAAGTGTTTAAGACGTCTTAAGACGGGAGCAGTTCACGGAGAGACTACAGCAGTCAAAAGCCCAATCCTAAACAGGGTCAGCCGCAACGCCAAGCCGTGGGCTCTGACCTGCGACTGCAAGATGCAACACAAAGAATCACACACACACACACACACACACACACACACACACACACACACACACACACACACACACACACACACACACACACACACACACACACACACACACACACACACACACACACACACACACACACACACACACACACACACACACACACACACACACACACACACACACACACACACACACACACACACACACACACACACACACACACACACACACACACACACACACACACACACACACACACACACACACACACACACACACACACACACACACACACACACACACACACACACACACACACACACACACACACACACACACACACACACACACACACACACACACACACACACACACACACACACACACACACACACACACACACACACACACACACACACACACACACACACACACACACACACACACACACACACACACACACACACACACACACACCACACACACACACACACACACACACACACACACACACACACACACACACCACACACACACACACACACACACACACACACACACACACACACACACACACACACACACACACACACACACACACACACACACACACACACACACACACACACACACACACACACCACACACACACACACACACACACACACACACACACACACACACACACACACACACACACACACACACACACGCACACACACACACACACACACACACACACCCACTCTCACACTCTCACACGCACGCCCCTGTCCCGCTTAGTAGGAGTCAAAGCCCGCGACTTGCAGAGCCCAGTGAAGCTTCGTCAACGCATCAGAGCTTGCCTGTACTGCAGGTGGAACTGACGCAGCACATGAGATGCTGAGTCCAACTGTTTTGTAATGTTTTGTACATCCTCTGGGTGCCTTGGTGCAGATCAGCTGCACCGCTGCACCCTGTCGAGATAGGGTGGGCGAAACCTTCATAGAAAAGCCTGGCCAGGATCTCTTCAGTTGCAAACAGGGGAAAGAAAGACGACAATGATCAATGAATGTGGCATGCGCTCGATTGCGCGCCTTTGACAGGTTTGTACTTGAAGGTGCAGCCTCGGAGGAAGCGAAGCAATGAGCATCGAAGCGGCCAAGCTACCACCTGATGTCAGGTGAAACTGTTGGCACGAATGGCAGTTTTCTGACATTCTGTGATACTCGAAGGCAGCATAGGGCAGCAACCGATTTCGCCAGCTCCAGGCTGCAATTCAACGAACATCTTGGCCTCCACCGGATAATGTGCGCCCAGGCAAGCCTCTCCAACTCATTGCTATTGTGACTATGGCCACGGCACTGTGGCCACATGAGAGGCTGGTCTTGACCAGGTTGCAGCTCAAGCTGGGACTGAGTTCCCACGGAGCACAATACTAAACAGCCGCATCACCACCGCCGAGCTGCACATCTAAGCAAAACGATCCATGCGGCATCCTGGTAAACCATGGTAGAACCTGGTAAACAATACGCGCTTGGGGCAGTGCTCAGATGAAAACGTTCCCGTCAAGCCTGCAGGGAATGCTTTGGAAAGAGCGAAGCCCTACCAGAAGTGCCTCAGCCGATGCCTCCACGAAGTGTGCCTCAGGCTTCGCTTCTTGCATTGCAAGTCACAGCCTCATGTTCCTCATAACGATTCTTTGGAAACCGCAGGGTTCCTAGGATACTTTGATTAAGCGAGAGAGGCTGAAGCCGAGCATGGCAAAACCTCTCTGTGCCATGCATGGGCACCCCGTTTCTCCTTCAGTTGCTCAGCGAATGGGAGGGTGGTGGGAGCTGCTGCGCGGCAGCTGAGCTCAGAGTGAACCATGTTCCTCCTAACTAGTGATGCCTTTGGCTTTCGACTGGTAAAGGCAAGGTAAAGGCTACAGGGACCCAAAGTATCCAAGGTGCGCGTCAGCCAGGGGCTGAAGTTGAGGGCGAGGTAGCGACCGTCGCGCGAGCAGCCCAGCTGCTGCCTGACCTGTCCATAAGCACCATTTTGCACCCGACAGATCACTCGAGCTTGTGGTGCTCTGCTTTTCTGAGGCGCAATCGGTGCAATGTGGAGACAGAGACCGCACCACCGACAACTCTGCATCAGCTGAGGAGCCGGTGACCTCAAGGTTCACGCAGCACAATCCCAAAATGATGCGGTCACTTCCACCATCAGATTCCAGCGTTGCAAGGTGCAGTGACTTCCCCGATCAGAGCATCCGGGCATTGCAAGAAGCTCGCAGACTGGTCCCTGGTGCGACCTCCCAGCATGTCACAGCATTCCATGTGTCTGATTCCATGCCCGCGGGCGGAGTGTGGATCCATTTGAGAGTTCCACGGTGGTGCTTGCGGCAAGCATCAGCTTTGCTGCTCCAGCACCACTGCTTGACTGAACGTGCGAGGCCTAGGCAAGGCACGAAATTTGGTGCATGTAGCTGTCACATCGGTGCATGTGAAAGGCTCGAGCACAGCCCACTGACAGGCGAAAGCGTTCCTGAGACGGCGGGACTGCAGAAAGCGTGTGCAGGCGCATCACCTCTCTCTTAACTCGCCCTTAACTCTTCTAAGGTATCGGCTGACAAGTGGATCTGCACCGCATGCGAGAGGGCGCTGTACTGCAAGCGAAACCGACCTCATCGCAATATGTTGCGATGCTGACCCTCGACAATGGATGGATCCAACCGAGATGGCGACGCTTTAAAGGCGCGCCAGGTTTCGAAGTCGCAGCAAAGGCCATGAGGAAGGAGCCTGACAGGGTGGGAACAGGGTCTCTCTTGCTGCATTTGCATGGCTGCCGTCAGTATCATTCAGCTCAACAGCTCAATCAGGGTTTGAACCGTTGAGGCTCAGCAGTCGCTGTGCCCGGAGCTCCTTGCTTGCGGGCTCATACAATGATCGCTCCACCTTTTCCATCGAAGCGGAAGAAGGTTTTGATGTACACGCACACTGGTCTCCGGTTTCCGATCTCCTCGTGCTTCCGTACCAGGCGCTGGACACGCACTTCCAAGTCCTGGATTGTTGTGGCTGCCGTGGTGTAAAAAGGCCCTTGCACTCCATGCAAAAAAATGCGGCCTTGAGAATAAGAACTGCGCAAGGCAAACTGGCTTTCGCTGGATTGCATGGGACATTATGGCACTCATTCCTTGCACGGCGTCCTTCAACCTGTCGTCCGGCACGCTGACAGCACCTGCCCAGAAGATCGGCAGTGATCTTTCGTTGCAATTCGGTGCCCTCGTTCGCACTCTCTGCCTTAGAAGATCTTAGAAGTGCCGTTCTGGCCTTCCTGTGCGCCATCTTCGTCTGACAGACCTTCTGCTAGTCGAACACCAGACAAGCCATACTTCTCCTGAGTTGCCCGCGTGACATTTCCCATCAAAACAAGACTCAGTGACACAGCTGCACAAAGCTACAGCGACTAAGCATCGCGGTGGGGAAGTCAAAATGGATAGGTGCAAAAGTGCAGTTTTTAGCGGGTGCAACGTGGCAATATGGTCCAATAATGGTGCAATCCCTAAGATCTCTCTTGGCGACTGGCATAGAAGCCGCGCAGCGCCTGAATGGCTCATGTGCGGGGTCTTCACCGGTGCATACCACCCCAACACACAAGTGATTCATTGACTCAAGAATCTGCACGCCCCTTACGTACGCGTCCTGCTTCCCGAAAAGCGATTATTTAACCAGAACAAAAAATGAAAGCTACGGCCTTGCAACCCCACAATGGCAATGCCATGTTCATGGTTCTGGACCTTTCTCCTCACACGTCAGACCGTGGTGAGAAGCTTAAGCTTTGCCTTTGCACGTGTTTATTGTGTGGGGAAGTGCAGCAGGGAATCACTTGGATCGTCATATCCAGGAATCCATCGATCCAGCGTTGCTCGCAGCTGGGGAGCAAATCCAAGTGCCTCGACTTCTTCCTGTATATCGCCCCCTTTCATGTAGAGGATCCCAGGCCCACACCGAGTGCCTGATGCTACCGAAGTGGTACAGTCGGGATCTTTGCCTGTTACTTCATGGGCTCCATTCTCTCTGGTCGCTCGTGAGCTGCGGATCAAGCGCCCTCTCAGATTTTTAGTTACTAAAGGAACGAAGCGTGGCAGTGACGTCACGCCGCGACCTGTTACAAAGTCATACTTTTCAGCCAAGTTTTCTGCCTTCTCATGCAGCGGCAGAACATTCTTCAACGACAGCGCCTTCGCTATCTGGGAAACCACCATGATCTTCTTCCGACGAAGGTCCACAAGCGTGAAACGAGTCTCAGGTGCACAAATAGCCGAGACCAAGCCAGGCAACCCGCCCCCTGTACCAACATCAAGGACGGTTTCATCGGGCTGAAAATTAGCTGCCAAAGGGAATGCCATGCAAGGCAAGACATGCCGAGATAACACATCTTCAACCGTCGAAGACTCCTTTCTCGAGATCAAGTTGATCTTGACATTCCACTCCAGAAGCAGCCGACTATATTCGACCAGTCTGTTCGCCTTTCCTGGCCCAAGAAGCTGTGCTAGCATCTCTGGCGTTGCTTGCATGGCTGGACTGACCTGGCAACCTAGTAAGCACACCAGCGCACCGTGCAGCCATGGCCCTCTCATGGCAGGTGAACCGACAAAGATCTTCAAAAACGTGGACTCCGCACTTCTACAAGCTTCTGATCCTGCATGATAGTTTGTAGTGCTGACGCATGATGAAAGTCAGACTTGTTTGTCCAGACAAAATTCAGCCCATGGATGAGCATGATGCGATATGATGCGATGCTTAACCGGTGCGCCGCGCTGGTGCCGGCTTTCTTCGACTCTGGGCCAGATTTTGCTAAAGAACATTCGTTTGAGAGTCTGACCATGTCTGACCGCTGCACCGGCTGGGACTTAGGAAACTTTGGATCAAACAGAATCAAACCGTACAAAATCAGCGCGGCCTCATCGCTGAGTATCCGATAGGCTCGATGCACCTCAGGCCAAGGCAGGTTTTCTCTCAAACTCTGACCAGCTGCTCCACGCTGAGGGGGTGACCCTGACGAAGGCTGCGTTCTCACCTAGGTAGTGCATAAAAGCGCATAAGAGTGCATACAGCATCAGTTTCACAAAAATAATCAAGCCTTTGCCGTTAGCGTCCAGAGTTCATCTCAGACTTGGACTTTCACCTGCTTGAGCATGCTTGTCGGGATGGTAAAGCCGAGAAAGCTCCCGAAAAGCCACACGGACCTCGACAAAGGCACCGGAACTACACCAAGTGGTTTACACTAACGGCCGTTTTGTCAAGCCTCGTCAACCGAAGCACCCGGCTGAAGATTCAGCGTATCCCAGAGATCATAGTCTCCATCTGCCATCAAATGAACTAAGCTATGAGCAAATCTCTGCCGATTGGGCATGGAATCTAGTTAGACTTGGCTGAATGGTGAGGCTTTAAGCAAAGAGTTCTGCTTTGTGCTTGTTGTATGACTGGATGTTGAAGGTACGTGCTTAAAGGCAAAGTGTCTGAAAGCTATGGGGGTTTGCACGTAGCCACGCCTGCACAGACAGCTGGCGGTCCGGAGCGCAGAAATCTGGAACTTGAATGAGCTTGAATGCTAAATTGAAGTTGCAAACGGTTTGAAGCAGCGTCCGACAGGCAAATCGCACACTCTTTTGCGGCTGGGGCAGTTTGTCGCACCCTTCGGCTGCACACGCCAAGAAATATGGCATCGGCTGTTGTCGCCATATGATGCCAGAAACACAGGAACTGTACTTCTGCCAAACAGGCAAGAATGTGACGGTCACTTCTGCGATCTTCCGGCCATGTTGACCTGCGTGAATGCTCGGCCGGAGATGGCCAGAGGACAGCAGAGGACGCTTGTGCCAGCAACAATGCACCTTCAGCGCCATCGAAACAGCTTTGCCCACGAAATCATCTCGCCTGATGCATGTCAACTGCCGGCATTTCCATCTGCTAAGCTTGCTCTAACGTCGAAAGGTTTAAGTTCATGAGTTGAGTTCTCAGGCTCCTTTCATGAACTAGCTGCCTACAAGGGTCCACGCCACCATTCGGGATCGAAAAGAGCTAGCATGAGATTGCTGTGTCAAGGCCATCGTTTTCGCTTCCGATTCACACCCAATGCCTGTGTGGATCTGGACATTGAACCAGCCAGTCGAGCAGAGTCTGTCGCATTGCCTGCAAGATAGCTTAATAAGCCTAACTCATTTGCTCTGCAATGCGATCTCCCTCAGATCCTCCCAACACTCACGTAAAGCTTGAGAGTGTGACATCAGATTGCTCAGGTCTTCGGCTGCTAATGCTTGGCTAGCAATTTCGATTTCTGAGCCTCGCAGTCTCCCGTAGAACATATCTTCGCGATGATCTCTGCCTGACGGAAGCATGATGGTGTGGGAGGCTTCTGAGCTTCTCCTCAGGACTCCTAAGACTCCGAGAGACTTCTGGAGGATGCCTGCGCATCTTCCTGCAAAGACTCGTCAAGGTCGTCGGAGTCTGCGCCATAAATCTCGGGTATTTCCTCCATGAACCACCTTGCTGCAATCTCACTTCAATCTTCCTCAGAATCCACACACGACAGAAGAGCTGATGAACCAGCATCACAGCCATCACACGAGTGCTTCAGCGCAGGGCATCTCCATGTCTGTCTGCAGCTTCTGCTGTTTGAAATTGAAGACTGCCTAAACGAGGCAATTATCTGACGTGGCGAGGGCGCAAGCCAAAGGCAATGTCAGCCTCTCGTTGGTCCAGCTTTCCCTTGCAGTCGTGCTTGCGGGGGTCATCCTCCTCCACAACTCCCCAAGAGCTACCGCAAGAGCTACTCTGAGAAGCTCTTCCAATTACAGGTTCAACGGTGCCATGAAGTTGGTTCCTCTTCGTCCTCCGCCCCGAGGGTGCGAAACCTCTGCTTGTTTTGGGAAGCTTCCAGTGACGACAGTGGTGGCCTAAGTCTGGATCCTGGATGCAGCAAGGCTACGCTGCTCTGGACATAACCTCCAAGAATGCGGGGAGGAGTTGCCACAAAACAGATGCGCTCTGCGTGAGTGAGTGTGGCGCACGCGGCCTTGGCCTTGGATGGACGGTTTCAGAGCCCATGCAACTCGGAAACTTTGCTGAACTTCCCAAAGCTCCGTTCGTTTGCAGGGAGTACTGCTCATGAATGGCTTGCTTGGTTCATCTGCAGGCTCTCGAGTCTCACTGTATACAAAGCTTATGAACGTTTTGTGGCTGGCATAAGCAATCGACACGTAGTGCAGTGAAGGCAGCATTCTTTGACACTGAGCCCAAAGTGGCCATTGATGCAGTCAAGCTCTTGTTCTACATGGTGTGATGTGGCACAAGTAAGATGTGAAAGCAAGACTGCACAAGCTCCAGGACCTCCAAGAAGAAACTGTGAGCAAAATAGGGGCACTCTTTTGCGCGAAAGCCACCAGATCAGGTTTCCGCTATTGTGGAGGGAGCGTGGAGTAGCCTGCGACGGCACAGAAAGCACTCAACACTATCCAATGAACCGGGCAGAGGAGCTACATTGGCGACAAGAAAAAAGACACATTCAGACAGCTCTCTTATGCTCTCTTGAATTCTCTTCATGCCTGCAGGGTGTTCTGCACTGCTTTTCCGTGCCTGGTGAGGAATTCTCAGCAAGAGTTTGGTTTGAAGGATTGGTGGAACAAGTACCACATTGTGAACATCTGCGATCGCCTTGAAGTACATAACGGCGGATGTCACGCAGAGAACCAGCCCCAACCAGTTGATGATCGAAATGGAGCTGTTCAAGGACTGCGAGGTAGCAACGTTCAGCAAACTCAGACTGATCTCATGGAGACCTGAATCCAGTTAAGAACTCAGACATGTGTTTCGGAAACAAGCGACCCGACATGCGCTGGCCTCAATTGGAAGTAGAGTAACAGTGTGGAAAGGCACCAGCAGTGCGCCGAACGCAGCTGAAGTGATTTGAATCAATCTGGTATGTCCAATGACCTCGGCAGGCAAAGGAGCAGTTCGTTGTCGAGTGATACCGGCAAGCTCGACAGACAGTGCGCTCGCTCATGGGCAGGCACGCTGCAAGCGTCGCAAATGCCTGATGCAGTCAAGAAAGCACGGAGCAGTGACACAAGGTATGCTTGAGGTACGAGTAAAAATTTCTCTCACCATGCCAGCCCAGCCATGCAACCACGTGAAGGACACTGAAAGATGTTCCATGACATCCCCCTTCCGCCTATAACGGCCACAAGTCGAAAGACGGGACCAGGATGAGGCAGCCATGGAATGGACCAGAAGCCGCTCCACCTAGCCAAGCAGATGGTTAACTACAACTGTTGCACGAATGGCTGCGCTTCAGCTCATTCGCTTCTACTCGCTTAACATGGCTACACATTGTGGACATTCCACACCCCCAATCGAATCAACACACCAGCACCCTCTGGTGGGGAAAGACGTGCGGCTTCCTGCGTGCAGTCCAGCCACTCGTTGTACAATGACCTTGCACAGTCTGTGGCAGTTCTGTGGGATGTCGTGTCATGCTGACGGCTTGACTGCAGAAGATAGCCCAATAGTCACGGTTCGAACCAGAGGTTTAAGTGTCAGACAATTCTACACCGACGGTGCAGGCTGCAAGCAACACCAGCTTCGAAACAATGAGCGCGCCGGGCCTGCAAAGCCGATAAGCCATCTGGGAGTGCAAAAAGACCAGACAGCGCCCGGCAACTAAGTATACGTACGCTTCGAACTTGCATGTGTTTGCAACTGCGGCGCCTTCTTCCCTGCGCCGGAGACATCACCTTCTGCGTGAGCAAGCACCGTGCAACGGTGAACACCTGACTCACATGTGCTGGCAAGCTACAGTACTTCCTTTAAAGCGAAGCCGGTGATCTTCCAGAGCCAAGCAAACAAGCAGAAAACTTCCATGCTCAGCTTCCAGCAACGGCCAAACAAGCCCATTCCAGGCTTGTGAGACCCTGCATGCTGTCATGTTGGATCAGCAGATGTCGAGCGTCTTAAACCTTGAAAGGCTTCCAGCCTCCAACGATGGCCAAGGGCCACGCACCGCCATCATGCCACCTAACGATGCAACCTGAGTGCCCATTTTCAGACACTCAGAAAAACAACCTCTCCAGAGATCGGGTCAGTGTCACGTCGGGCAAGTTCTCGGAGAAACCACGGGGAGGCTGTTGGAAGCCGATTTTTTCATGGGAGGAGCGGGGGACTTGGATGGAGGGCAGCAGACGGGGCAAATTTCAGGAGGTCAGTTTTCAGGATGTAGCATGATGTTGAGCACTAGAGAAGGAAACTGATATTCATGAGAGTCGAGGGCTGCAGAAAAAAGTGAGGGCATGCTGTGAACGTTCCGCATAAGGTTGTGGCACCAGCTGCCATCAAGAGCTCCTGCGAACCAGACCGTGCTGAAGGGATCTGTGGGAGGGTATGTTCATACCTCGGAG